TCTTTGGGCACAGTCCGGGAGGGCAGAGGCCGGTTGTGGCTTTACTGTGCTGAGGCTCTGACCTTTGTGCCCAGGAGCTGCCCCTGCGGGATGGGGACGATGGTTTCCATACACACCAGCTGCACCTGGTGGACCTGCGAGCATCCTGGACCACCACAAACCGGGACATTGCCTTTGGTCTGTATGATGGCTACAAGAAAGCGGCTGTGCTCAAGCGCAATCTGTCCACGGAGGCTCTGAAGGGGTTGAAGATTGACACACAGCTGCAGGCCAAGAAGCTGAAGCGAGGCCCCCTCTCTGCTCACTCTGTCCCTGCCAAAGTGACTGCTCCCATCACCAGCGGCCGTCCTGAGAGAGCTTCCTCTGGAGGTGTGTGTGGCTGTACGAGCCTGGCAGCACGTGCTAGCCTAGAGCTTCTCCAGCCTTCATATCCTCAACCTTGCACTGATTTTTTTACTCTTTTCTCCTTCCCTAGGAGCCTACATGTTGCAGAAGCTCATTGAGGAGACAGATAAGTTTGTGGTCTTCACAGAGGAGGAATCAGGAGCTAGTGAGCAGCTGTGTGGCATCGCTGCCTGCCAGACTGATGACATCTACAACCGCAACTGCCTCATTGAGTTGGTCAACTGCCAGGTACCAACCCCTGGCCAGCCTCTGCTCCCCTGGCCTTGTGGTCAGAGGGGCCATGGCTGGTCTTGATGCCCTAGGGTCTCTTTTTTAATTCCACAGATGGTGCTGCGTGGTGCGGAGACAGAGGGCTGTGTGATTGTGTCTGCTGCAAAGGCTCAACTGCTGCAGTGCCAGCACCACCCTGCCTGGTATGGGGACACACTGAAGCAGAAGACATCTTGGACGTGCTTGCTGGATGGCATGCAGTACTTTGCCACAACAGAAAGCAGCCCCACAGAGAGGGAGCATGGGCAGCTCTGGCTGGAGGTGAGGGACTGGGGTTGCACATGGTGGATGAGCTGCAAGAAGGACAGCCACCAATGCATCTTTGCCTTCCTAGGTGAAGAATATTGAGGAGCATCGGCAACGGAGCCTGGACTCAGTGCAGGAGCTGATGGAGAGTGGGCAGGCAGTGGGTGGCATGGTCAGCACCACCACAGGTACGGCTTGGGGAGCTGGGCACCACGCTACCCAACTCTGCTTGCATGTGACCCTGAGGTTGGCAAAGCTGAGATGGCTCCAAGAGCAGAGCCAGCTCCAAACCCTGTGCTTGAGAGGTCTCTGGTGTGGCCTTCTGACTTCGGTTCCCCTTCCTGCCTGTCCCCAGACTGGAACCAGCCCTCAGAAGCCCAGCAGACCCAGCAGGTGCAGAGGATCATCTCTCGCTGCAGCTGCAGGATGTACTATATCAGCTACAGCCATGACATTGACCCTGAGCTGGCCACACAGATAAAGCCCCCCGAGACTCCTGCTAACCAGGAGAAGGAGGATCTGCTAAAGAAGCAGGAGGGTGGGTACATGCACACCGTGTGTCTCAGCAGAGCTTTGGGCTGACCCACTAGTGTCTACTGAGCCCAGGGGTGATCCATCTTGTACCTGCTGAGATCAGAAGGGCCCCACGTGTCCTTCTTGTGTCCCTATAGGAGCTGTGGACACATTCACACTCATCCACCACGACCTGGAGATCTCCACAAACCCTGCACAGTATGCAATGATCCTTGACATAGTTAACAACCTGCTGCTGCACGTGGAGCCCAAACGCAAGGTACTCAGAGAGCTGCAAGTCCCCTTGTCACGTGCCTGCATCCAGGGCGCCCCTTCACTTCCCCTATCCTTGTGGCTAGGAGCACAGTGAGAAGAAGCAGCGGGTGCGCTTCCAGTTGGAAATCTCCAGCAACCCTGAGGAGCAGCGCAGCAGTATCCTACACCTGCAGGAAGCTGTGAGGCAGCACGTGGCACAGATTCGGCAGCTGGAGAAGCAGATGTACTCCAACGTGAAGGTGAGCCCATGTTCAGGGTAGGACTTGGAATCCCTGCCTTGGGATGGAGGGTGCTGAGGGCTGTCTGTCTTCCAGTCCCTGCAGGATGACAGCAAAAACGAGAGCCTGCTCGACCTCAACCACAAGCTACAGCAGCAGCTGAGCCAGGAGAAAGCTGACCTGCAGCTGGAGAGCGAGGAGCTGAACATCCTGATCAGGTATGGGCCATCGCTGGCTTCCACAGTGCTGTTCTCTCTCTAGGGCTCCCCTGTCCCAGCATTTCCCTATCTGCTGCAGGTGCTTCAAGGACTTCCAGCTGCAGCGAGCCAACAAGATGGAGCTGCGAAAGCAGCCGGAAGACGTGAGCGTGGCACGGCGGACTGAGTTCTACTTTGCCCAGGCACGCTGGCGCCTGACGGAGGAGGATGGGCAGCTGGGCATAGCTGAGCTGGAGCTGCAGCGCTTCCTCTACAGCAAGGTACTGAGCTGGCTGGTGGCTCTGCAGCCCCTGTGTGTGGGCCTGGAGGTGTGGGGTTAATGATTCCGTGTGCGCAGGTCAACAAGTCTGATGACACTGCTGAGCATCTGCTGGAGCTGGGCTGGGTCACGATGAACAACCTCCTGCCCAACGCCGTGTACAAGGCAAGGGGAGCAGCTCTGCTTGCTTGGGGACCTTTTGGTGACCTGGCCCTGTGGCTCTCCTCACTCCAGTCACCCACTTTCCTCCCTGCAGGTGGTGCTGCGTCCCCAGAGCTCCTGCCAGTCCGGCCGCCAGCTGGCACTGAGGATCTTCAGCAAAGTCCGGCCGCCTGTGGGAGGCATCTCCATCAAGGAGCACTTTGAGGTGCTGGGGCTGTGCTGGGAGGTGCAGGGCATGGGCAGAGTTCACCCAGCTCTGACACATCTCTCTCCCTGCAGGTGAACGTGGTCCCACTCACCATCCAGCTCACCCACCAGTTCTTCCATAGGATGATGGGTTTCTTCTTCCCCGGACGCAACGTGGAGGAGGAGGAGGTGGGGGATGAGGAAGACAAGTCCAAACTGGTGACAACGGGTGAGTGGGGTGGGAGAGGTGTGGCAGTGTTTGAATCACCCTCCTGCCACCTGAGTGACTTCTCTGAGCAGCTCTGGCTGCGTGTCTGGATGGTTTTGGGGAGCTGCTGGTGGGATATATTGAAGAACAGGAACCTGTTCTTGGGTGGGGAGGGGGCTACTGGGGACAGCAACAAAGCCAGAGGGAATCTGGGTCATGTCTGATCCCCAGCTGGACCCCAACCACTGCCTCCTTCTGCCCTCCCAAGGGATACCTGTGGTGAAGCCACGGCAGCTGATTGGGGCTGATGACTCGCTGGGCCCAGGGAAGGGGGTCGCTCAGGGACTGAATCGCACCTCAGGGGTCAGGAGATCATTCCGAAAAGCACCCGAGGTACGTGCTGCCCTGTGGGGGGACTAGGGAGAGCCCTGCTGTGGTTGCAGTGTCTTGGCCTCGCTTCTTTTTTATCCCCTGCTCCCTCCCACCATGTTCACGTACATCCTTCACATCCCTACGCTGCACCTTGCTATGATTCCTGCAACATACCCAGTGCCACAGCAGCTCCCGCTGCTCCCCGGTGAAGCAATGCTGTGGCCCAGTGCCCGGCTGTCCCCTCCCCACTGCTTCCTGGCTCTGTCCCCTGTCCTCACCTTCTGCTCGCATCTCTGTCCCCAGCATCCCGTGGATGACATCGACAAGATGAAGGAGCGCGCGGCCATGAACAACTCCTTCATCTACATCAAGATCCCGCAGGTGCCACTGTGTGTCAGCTACAAGGTGAGTGGCCATGTGGGAGCAGGGGGGGCAGCGTGCCACTCTGCCTCACCGCCCTTTCCCCTGCTCAGGGCGAGAAGAACAGCGTGGACTGGGGTGACCTGAACCTGGTGCTGCCTTGCCTGGAGTACCACAACAATACCTGGACGTGGCTGGACTTTGCCATGGCGGTGAAGAGGGACAGCCGCAAAGCCTTGGTGGCACAGGTACATGGGGACGGCGCTGTCCCCCTTCCCACTATGGGGGCAAAGCCTCTATGGGGACAGGCTTGCCCCAGCGTGAAGCCAAGGGCGCTGTGTGCAGCCCCATGGTGCTGAGCCCTCGCTCCTGGTGCAGGTGATCAAAGAGAAGCTGCGCCTGAAGCCTGCAGCGGGTGCAGAGACACGGGGGAAGCTGGAGAACAAATCAGATGGGACCATCCAGCAGCAGGAGGAGGACGAGAAGGCACGTCTGCTCATCGGGCTGAGCGTGGGCGAGAAGAACCCCAGCAAGAAGTCCATCTTTGGCAGGCGCAAATGATGGCAGCACCCGGCAGGCCGGGAAGGGACTGGGGTCCCCTGTGCTCCTCATAGCAAAGGGGCAGCCCTATAGCAGTGAGGGGACCACGCTGCTGATGCCCGAGGCGGGGGGCAACCCCATTGCTGTGGGGCCTGGAAGCAGCCGTGCTGTGGGGCTGCTTTGTGGAGTGCAGCCCCCCCTGTGCCAAAGGTCCTGTAGGTCCTTGCTGCGTGGCTGCTGGCCCCAGGGCCTGGTGAAGCAGCAGGATCGCTCCAGGCTGGGAGAAAGGGGAACAGGAGAGAGTTTAAATAAGAGTTTTTAATTTGGAACAGCCTCGGTCCCAGGGGTTGTCATTCACCCTCCCGGCTTGCGTCGCACTGCTCTCAGCACAGCAGCACCTCGGCCGTGTAGGTTCACCCCCTGCACATCCCACGGGGTTCTCCTGCCCCATTTAAGGGCTCCCCCCTCATTCAGCTCTGCATGACCCCCGCTGCCTGGAGCTCTATGGGGGCTGGGGGTGGGGCTGCACTGACCCTTTCACCCTCTTAACTTGGCAGTTGCCCCGAAGGAAGGAAGGAAGGGGGGGCAGGGAGGGGAAGGAGGAGGATAGATGGGAGCACCCCCAGCTCCTACCGGGGGCTGGGATGGGGGAGGCTCGGAGTCCGTGCCTGCCGCCCGGCGCGGATGGGGGGTGGGTACCGCACGGAGCCCCGGTGCCGGGGGGGTCGGGGCGGGGCGGGGCGGGGCGAGGTTATGTAAGGCGGCGATTAACGGGGCCGGGCCGGGCGGCGGCGCGATGGGAGCAGCCAGCAGCGGGTCCGGCCCGGGGCCCCCCCAGGTGCGTGAGGTGGCCCCGACGGCGTCCCCGCGTCCCCCTATCCGATGTCTGACCCCGACCCGCTGACGGCGGCCCCCCCGGTTCCGTAGGGCCGAGCCGTGGGGTCGTGGGTGCGGGCGCTGCTCCGCCGGAGCGGGTCGGTCCAGGGGCCGGTGCCGGTACCGGGACTCGCTGTGGCCGCCGAGGAGCCGCCGTTCCCGGGGTGGCCGCTGCCGCAGCTCGTCTCGCTCTTCCTGCCGGAGTTCCCCGTTCGCCCCTCCGCCCGGCAGCAGCAGCTCAAGGTGCCGTCCGGGGACAGATGCAGCGCACCGGGGAATCCTTCTGCTTCACCGGGGACTCCGCGCGTCCCGCGTGCCTCCCGACGGGTCCCCTCGCGCCCTGTGCCCGCCCTGTTGATGTCCTACCGGGATTTCCGAGCGTCCTGTTCGGGTCCCCGTGCGGTCGGTGCCTTTCAGCGAGGTTTCTGCGCTCCCTACGAGGTCCCCGTGCATCCTTACAGCAGTCCGCGACCGTCTCACCGAATCCCTTTCTCCTCCCGTCTGGCTCCCCCCTGTGCGTTCCCTCTGCGCCCCGTGTGCCCCACACTGCGATGCCCCCATCCCTCGTGTCCCCATCCTCTACGTCCCCCCTTGTGCCCTATTGTGTACCTCAAGGACTTTATTTCCACCCCCCCCTGCCCTGTGCCACTCACCCACCCAGGGGGGGTGTACTCCTCATCATTCCATAGCGTGTACAGCTCCTGTCCCCCCCCTCCTCCCAGATCCTGGGCTTGGTGGCCAAAGGCTCCTTCGGTACCATCCTAAAAGTGTTGGACTGCGGGCGAGAGAAGGTCTGCGCCGTGAAGGTGGGTGCTGCCCCATGGCCTGGGGCTTTCATGCTGTCCCAGGGACCCCCCCCACCCCCCCATCCTGACAGTCCCTCTTCCAGGTCGTGCCCAAAGTGGAGGTGCTGCGCCGTGACACCCTTAAGCAGTGCAAGGAAGAAGTCAGCATCCAGGTTAGGGGAGAGAAGGGGGAGTTGGGGGGGGCACAGGGAGGGATCCCCCCCTCCCAGGTGCCGCTCACCCTCTCCGCTTTGTATCCCCAGAGACAGGTCAGGCACCCGTTTGTCCACGGCCTTGGGGACAGCTGGCAGGGCCAGCGCCACCTCTTCATCAGTGAGTGACCATCTGCCCGCAGGCTCCCCCCAGCCCCCCCCTGCTCTGCCTGTGCACGTGTTCCCACTGCCTGCACACGTGTTTTCCCCCCCCTTGCACGTTCTGCACGCTGCCCGCGGGGACTCAGCATCAGGCTGCTGCCTCCCAACCCTCACCCACTGCAGGGACAGCAATGGGACGATGGGGAAAAAGGCCACCATTGTTACAGCTCTGGTGGCTCTGTGCCACCGCTGGGCCCATAGGGTTTGTGCAGATCTGTGAGCCCCAAGGGTCGTGTCACCTTGGTGCCCGTGTAGCCACAGTGCTTGTGCCACCTTTGTGACCATGTGCTTGCAGTGCAAGCGGGCACGTCCTTGTGTCACCTTCATGCCCACATGGCCACAGCACTTGTGCCTCCTTCATGACCGTGTGGTCACAGTACATGCACCTCTTTTGAGCCCATGTGTCCACACTGTTGTGCCCCCTCCATGCCCATGTAGCCACAGTTCTCATGCTACTTTCACGGCCGCGTGCCTGTGATGTTTGCATCGCCCATACATTTGCAGTGCTTGTGCTGTCTTTGTGCCCATGTGGCCACATGGTCTGTGTATCCCTGTGCCTGTATCACCTTGGGCACAGTGCTTGCAAGCTCCCTGTGCTCACATAGCTCTGATGCCCAGAAGATCCCAGTCCGTGTGCCACCTCCCCACCCCTACAGCCCCACCTTGGTGCCTGCGTGGCTCCAGGTAAGGGTGCTGTGACCCATCCTGGCAGTGTGCACCTACTGCAGCACTGGGGACCTGCACGCACTGTGGCGTGCAGCTGGGCGCTTCACCGAGGCCACCGTCCGCCTGTTTGCTGCCGAGCTGGTCCTGGTGCTGGGTGAGTGGGGGCTCAGCCCCCTCTGAGGGTGGCAATCGGCACGGTGTAAGGAGGGGACGCCCAGTCTCTGACAGCTCCATCTTGTCCCCAGTGTACCTCCACGACCTGGGCATCGTGCACAGAGATGTGAAGGTGAGTGATAGCGGGGAGGGGGGACAAAAAGGCATTGTGGATCTCTGCAGCCCCTCGCATGGAGGCCCACCCCAGAGCTTGTTTTATTTCAGATGGAAAACATCCTCCTGGATGAGAGAGGTGAGGGCCTGGTGGCATTGGTGCGGGGACATCCTGTGCATGGGAACGTCCCATCCATAGGGTCACCCCCTCCATGGGCCCCTCCTCTTGCACTGTTTTGCCCCCCAGGGCATCTCAAACTCGCTGACTTTGGCCTCTCCAGACACCTGCGCTGCGGTGAGCGGGCACACACCATCTGTGGCACTCTGCAGTACATGGGTAAGGGGACAGCTTAGGGGGGGATGAAGGCAGAAGGATGGAGGCTCACTACCCAACCCACTCACCTCCTCATCCCTGCAGCCCCAGAGGTGCTGAGCGGGGGTCCCTACAGCCACGCAGCTGACTGGTGGTCCCTGGGTGTGCTGCTCTTCGCCTTGGCCAGTGGGGAGGTGAGAACTGCGGGGTGATGATGGCCTTAGGGTACCGCATGGAGCCCCTAAGCCTGCTCCTTGCCCCCCCCCAGTTTCCAGTGCCGCCAGCGAGGGACCACGTGGCCATGCTGGAGCGTGTCAAAGAGAGCAGCTACGCGACCCCCCCTGCGCTCAGCCCTGCGCTGAGCCGACTGCTGGCTGAGGTAACCCCAACCCTTGGGCTGAGTGTCCCCAGCGCTGTCCCCCTCGTGGCTCACCGTCCTCCCTCTGTTGCCAGCTGTTGTGCCACAACCCCCTTCGCCGCCTGCGTTACCTCCACCACTTCCAGGGCCACCCTTTTTTCCGGGGGCTGCCTTTCGACGCCGAGCTTCTGCAAAAGGATCCGGTGGCCTTGGCTGTGGCTCCACGCCCCAGCGAGCAGCCTCTGCCCGACCCTGACACGTTTGACGACTTCGACTGCGACCTCACCGCCGCCCCCCCGAACCGGCCGTGGCCTGGTTGAGCCTCCGCTGGAGGGACCCCGGAACCACGGAGGGACCCCCGCACCACTCAGGGACACCCCCCTTCCCTCTGTACCTCTTCCTACGGGAGCAATAAACCCAGACCCGACGGTAATGCTGTGGGTGTCTCCTGCAGGGCTGCGCACCGAGGGCAGGGGCTGGGGGGGCAACGTACAAAGCTGAGCTCCCCGCTCCGCGCTGCGCAGCACGCCCGCAATTCCCGCGCGGGTGGGCGTGGTCACTGAGAAACCACGCCCACGTGGCACGTAACCACGCCCACAAATGACGTAGCCCCGCCCCCATCGCGGGACCAATCAGAGCCACGCGTTGTTTTCAAATGGGCGGCGGGGAGCGGCTCGGCGGATGCGCGGCCATGCGGGGAGCGCGCGTCAAATCCGTGAGTGCGGGGAACGAGGGGGGGGGGGGTGGCTTCGGGGGTCCCGGTCCCGGTCCTGCAGCCGCTTTTTACCCGACCGAGTGTCCGGTATGACAGTAGAGACGGCTCCGCTGGGTGGCTGGGGGTCCCGGTAGCGGTTCTAGGGGCGGTTGGAGGGTTGGATGCAGCGCCGTTCGGTCCGTGCTGGGGGGGGTGCGGTGGTTCCGGTGCTGACCCCCCGGTGCCCGTTCCCCAGGCACAACGGCGGCCCCTGCAGGAGCTGCGGCTGCAGCAGGGAGCGGAGCGTACCAACATCACCCCGCTGCTCCGCCGCTTGCGGCTCAAGGTCGGTGCGGTGGCGGGGTGGAGATGGAAGGGAGCGTACAGGAGCTGGGGGTACCTGGGGGGAGTTCAGGGTATGGGCGAGTAGACTGGGGAGTTTAGGGAGGGGAATGGGATACGGGTGTGGGGATGAGCTGGAGGGCAGCTGTGGAGTTTACAGGGTATGGGGCACTGGAGGAAATGGGTGGGGGTATGGAGGTACAGGGGTAGGGCGAGGGGCTGCCCTGATTCCTCTCCCCTCCGTTCTCTAGGACCACGATGGCAGCACTCCTGTGCCCCGCACCCGGTGCCCCCCTGGTCGTGTTGCCCCTGGGCTCCCCCGCACTGCTGTCCCATGCTCCCCCTGCCGCATTGACTTCAGCCCCCAGAAGATCCCCCTGGAGCCCTTAGGCAGTGCCACCCCAGACCCCGTCAGCATTTCGGAACCCTCTGGCCATGCCACCCTTGTTAAAGATGCCCCAGAGCCCCCAGATGATGTCACCTCAGTGCCTGACACCCTGGTGCCCTCAGATGATGCTCCCCAAGAATCCAGCCCCCCAGAGACCCCCAGCAGGGCCCCCCAAGAGCCCCATGGCAGTGCCCCAGTGCCCTTCTTCCCATTCTCTCCCAGCCTCCTCCCCCCACTGCCTCCCTCTCCAGACCACCCCAGCAGCACTTCCTTGGAGCTGCGTACTCCTGACCCTGCTGGCAGCAGCTCCGTGGGGCCCTGCACTCTGGACACCCCTGGCAGCCCCTCCCCGGGCCCCCCAGGCACCTCTACCCCACAGGATACTCCATTCCGTAGGTGGCGAGCGCCACCCCCTGATCTCTCCTGCAGCCCCGTGGCTTCCCAACCTTTGGCTGAGAATGGGGATGCGGGTACTCCTCCACATCACAGTACCTTGGGGATGGCTGGATCCCCAAGCCCTGCCCCACCAGAGCAGTGCTCCCCCCAGATTGAGGCAGTGGGGTCAGAGCCTGTAGACTCAGCAGTGGCAGCCACCCCAGTGTCTTTGTCTGAGCCATCCCTGGGGGCTGTGTCCTGGATAATGCCACTGGTGTGGCTGGAGAGGACCCTCCCTGCCTCGTCCCTGCTGGAGTCCCTGCGGCACAGCCTCCCCCTGTCTGTGTCGTGGCGGGATGCTGGCACCAATGTCACCCCAGTGCCTACTACAGCTGTCAGTACTGGTGTCACCCCAGTGCCCACTGTGTCTATGGGTACCACCGTAACCCCAGTGTCCACTGTACCTGTGGGGAGCAGCGTCACCCCAGTGCCAACCATGGCTGCAGGCACCACCGTCACCCCAGTGCCCACTGGATCCATTGGCACCAATGTCACCCCGGTATCCACTGGATCCATTGCCACCAATGTCACCCCAGTGCCCACTGGATCCATTGGCACCAGTGTCACCCCAGTGCCCACCATGGCTGTGGGCACCAGTGTCACCCCAGTGCTCACTGTATCTATGGGCACCACCATGACCCCGGAGGAGAGGAGTGCTGGCACATCCATACCTGCTGGTGCCAAGGACAGCGCTGCTGAGACCGACTCTCTGCTCTGGCAGTACGTGTCCCTGCTGGGTATGGGGATGGGCTCCCAGGCCGTGTCCCATTCCCAACCACCAGGGCTCCTTTTGTCCACAGCTGTCCCCGGGAGCAGCTGCGTTCGCTGCCACGAGCAGAGCTGGAGGGACGGCTGGAGAGCACCCTGATCATCATTGAGGCCCTCTCACTGCAGCTGCGTGACTGGCAGGACTGCCAGCGCCCACTCCCTGCAGTGGGGCCAGCGGGGCAGAGGGATGCACACACTCAGACTGATGTCACTCGGCCCCAGGGGGTGAGTGAGTGTCCCCTCCTGCAGGGCTGCATCCCACCGCGTGCAGGAAGGGCTTGGGATCAGCATGGTGCTTGGCATGGGGTTGGAGTGCTGGTGTAGAAGTGCTGTTGGGGCACACATCCTGCCCTGCCTTTAGGAGGAGGGGATTTACCACGACCTCTACGTGGAGCTGCGGAGGAAGGCGCAGGCTGTGCAGCGGCAGCGTGGAGCAGAGCAGGAGTTGGCACAGCAGCTGGTGCGGGCAGCAGAGGCAATGGTGCGTTGGGGTGTACGGGATTTGGGCACTGCCACCCCCAGTGCCATCGGTGCCCTCATCGTCCCTTCCTCAGGATGCATGGACTGGGCAGCGCCGTGCGCTGTGGGATGTTGCAGACACCGCTCTGCAGGGCATGAAGAAAGACCACGCAGCACTGGAGCAGGAGGTGAGTGCAGGGGCACGGAGGTGGCTCTGGGGATGTGGGTGAAGGAGGTGGCAGATGGCAGCTGGAGGAGGGCTGCCGTCCCTTTGCAGCGGCTGCAGGTGCGTGCCATGGTGTCCCGGTGCGAGGCGGTGCTGCGCGCTGTGCCCGGAAAGCTGCAGAGCTGCCTGCAGGAGCGGGATGCTGCACAGCAACACGCGGATGAAGCCCTTCGTGCTAAGCAGGAGGTAACGTGTCCCACGTGGGGACGCTGCTATCCCCACCCAGGGATGGGGGGTGATGTGCCCTGAGCTGTGCCACCCCTTTTTTGCAGAGCGATGGTTTCCTGGAGGCGTTCCGTTCCCACGCTGCTGCCCAGATTGGTGCCCGCACGCAGAGCCTGGAGCTGCAGCAGGAGCTGAGCACGCTGCTGGCAGCTGCTGTCCAACAGCAGGTATGCTGTGTCCTCCACACCCGGCGGGGTTCGTAGCCCTGGCTTAGGGCTGTGCTCCAAGCGACCCCCGTGGCAACGCTCCCTGCTTTCCTCTCCTCTAGGTGTCCCTGGCTGCAGAGGCTCAGCCCTTCCGGGAATTCATAGACGTGACCTTTGCCAACCTCCAGGAGGAGCGAGGAGCGCTGGATGGAGAGGTGAGGGCTGTCCCGACATGGTGCCACCCATTTCACCAGCACTCAGCTCACCCTGGGGCTGTCCTGTCCCTTTGTAGAGGGAGCAGGTGCGTGCCCTGGTGTCTCGCTGCATGACTGCGCTGCGGGACGTCCCCACCAAGCTGCACAGCTGCCTGCAGGAGCGGGATGCTGCGCTGCAACGGGTGGAGGAAGCCCTCCAAGCCAAGAAGGAGGTAATGGGGCCACCGAGTGCACAGATCAGCAATTCCAGATACAGAAGGGGATTTGTGGGGGCTGTCCTATGGAGGACATGGGGAACGGAGCACACGAGTGCTCTCTGATGTGTGGGATCCTCTGGGTTAACCCCGCATCTATATAGGTGTCCCAGCAGCTGGAGGAAACCCTGGAGGCTCTGCAGGATGCGGTGGCCCAGGGGGAGCAGCTGGCAGTCACCAACTCACGCCTCAGCACAGGTAGTGGGGAGGGGGAAGGGCACAATAGGGGGGTGGCAGTGGAGAGTGTGGGGTGTCTCTGTGCTCACAGCTCTTCACCTACAGACCTGAGCACGGTGATGAAGCAGCTGGCCAGCCTGCAGCAGGAGCAGGACGCGCTGCAGCAGGACTACGAGGAGCAGAAGGAGATGATGAGCCGGTGGGTCTGCACCCCTGGCACCTCGCCCTGCCCCATCAAAGCCCCTCTCAACACCCCCAGCCCACCCCTTGGGGTGACCCCCTTTCCCCCCACGGCTTATCCCCATCCATCCCTTGGCGTCAGGCTGACCAAGGAGCGGGATGTTCTGCAGCGGGAGCGCCAGGAGCTGCAGGAAGCAGCAGAGTGCCGGGAGGTAAGAGCCAGGGCGCACGGCACGTGGCACGGTGTCACATGTCCCCACTGGTAGGTGGCAGCCGGCCAGCAGAGCCAGCAGCCCACGGCGCTGACAGCCCGCACGTAGGGCTGCACGCACAGTGTTGCCCAGGATAATTCCCCCAGCTGTGTGTGCCGTGCGTGTCCCATGCTTTTGGGGGGCTTGGCTGGCTGCCCTTGGTTGAATAGGACCGTGCAGGAGGTGCTCATGGCTGTGTTTATTGTTCCCCCCAACTCCTACCTTATCCTGCAGTTTCTGGACCAGGAGAACCGCATGTCCCGCAGGCAGCTGATGGAGGTGGAAGCCAAGCTGCAATCCACGCTGGCTGAGCTGCAGGAGTGCAGCCTGCAGCACGAGGAGCTGCTAGAAGCCCACCAGGGCCTGCAGTATGACTTTGTGCTTCCTCCTGCTACCCGAGCCCTTGGGGTTGGGCAAACAGTCCCATTGCGTGCATGGGGGGAGGGAGGCACAGCTTTAGGCAAAGCAGCTCCGGCTGAGGGCAGTAATTCAGGTTGGGGAACTCAGTAGTGCCGGTTTTGCACCCTTTGGGGCATGGGTGGAGGTGGTCGTGGTGGGAGCGTGGGGTCGTTGAGGTTGGAGAAAGCCTTAAAGCAAATCAAGTCCCGCCCCAACCTGTCCTGCCTCCGGGTTGGGATGAGTTGCTCACATTGTTTCCCCCCCTGCAGGGAGGAACGAGCAGCCTTGCAAAAGGAGCTGGAGAGCACCAAGGCGGAGCTGCAGGACTTGCAGCTCAAGAGGGACAGGGTGTCCTGGTGCTCAGCAGGCATTGCTGAGAGCAAGGCGAGGCTGCAGAAGCTGGCTGACTGCCTGCGAGCCGCCCTGCCTCAGCAGGTGGGACCCTCTTATGGGGGCAAGAGGGCACACGTGCCATCAGAGCACCCCCAGCACCACATCCCCTCCTTCCCATAGGATGATGATGATGAGGTCCCATCGAGGAGCAAGACCTGGACTCCAGGCTGGAGGACCCCCCGTGGGCCCTGGACCCCCCACAGCAGTGCTTGGACCCCCGTGTGCCGCACACCTGCCCATCACACACCGCACCGTGCCAGGGGGTCCTTTGTAGGCAGTGTTTTGAAGGCGGTGTCAGGAAGAGGTGAGGCTCTGGGGGTCCCCAGGTTGTGGGGCTGGTCTTGGACCCCCTAGGGGGGGCATCTCTTCCTGGACTCTCCTCCGTGCACTCTGCCCTTCTGCAGATGGTGATGAAGGCACTGGATGTGAGAGCCTATCTGCCAGGGATAGGGCTGTATCCACACCGAAGCCCCCAGGTATCACACTGTCCCTGCCCCTCACATCCTCAGCGTGTCCCCCCACCACCCTGCTGAGCAGCCCCCCGCCCGCAGAGCCCGAGGATGGTCTGATGGAGCAGGCAGCTGAGCTGCGGGCCGTGGTGTCTGACCTCTCTGTGCTGAGCTCCCGCATGCAAGAGTTGGAGCAGAGCGAGTTCAGGGCGCTGCAGGCAGAGATGTGAGTCCGGGGGGGGGGCTGCAGTGGGGAGGTTTGGGTCTGGGGTGGGGGGGGGCTTACATGGAATTTGGTAATGGGGGCATGGGCACTTCCCTTTGCCCTGCTGCTGCTCCAAAGTGAGCTGGTGGGCACGGGTTGACCTTCCCAACTGGGGACAGCCATATGAGGGGTTTTGATGCACTGTGATCTTCCACCTGTTCAGCCCCATTGTGTCCCCTCTCCCTCCCCCCATCCAGCTGTGACCTGCAGCTTCAGCTGGAGAAGGTGACAACTGAGAGCCAGGAGCGGATGGACACTCAGGCTGCCAGCATTGCCAAGCTGAACAAGGCACTGCAGGGCAAGCTGCAGGTGAGGCCTCCCCCCACCCCAGAACTGGGCCAGGGCAGAGCTGAACTGGGTTGGGCTGGGATCTGGGACAGCAGGATCTGGGTGACCTCAAATGTGAGGGTGCCATTGGGGTGTGGGGGGGGGCATAGCTTGACCCCGCTCCCTGACCCTGCAGAACGAGAAGGAGCTGCAGGACGTTGTGAAACAGCAGGAAGCGAAGATGCTGCAACTCATTGACAAGAGTGAGGAGGTGATGGTACGTGCAGGGCTGCAGCGGGGTGGTAACCCACACCTTGGGTGGGGGGACAGCAATGGGACCCCCCTCACTGCCCCACTGCCTCCCTTTGCAGAGGCTGCAGGAGGAGGTGACCCAGCTGAAGCGCTCGCTGCAGCGTGCAGAGACTGAGGCCAAGGTGCTGTGGGAGGAGATGAGAGGACAGGAGGCCAAGGGGGTCTCAGCCCACGTGCAGGAGCGCGTCCTGCTGCGGCAGGAGGTGGGTATGGAGGTCAGGGTTGTGGGGCCGGGTCCTCCTGCAGCCCCTTGGTGCAGGTAGGAGTGCAGAGCGCCCATCCTTGCTCCGCTTGCAGGTGGATAAGCTGCGCTTGCTGCTGCTGGAGAAGGAAGACGAGAATGTGGTGGTGTCAGGGAATTACCTGGAGCAGGTATGGGGTAGGGGGGAGACACTCCGCTGCTCCCTCTTCCCAGGGCTGTGTCCTTATGGCCTCACCCCATTGCAGGTGCGAGGGTTGGAGCTGAGGCTCAGCCATGCACAAAAGATGCTGCGGAACCACGAGGAGCTGCGGGAGACAGTGAAGGAGGTGAGGTGATCCCAGCATCTTTGCTCCCGTCCCTCTGGGAGCTGCAGCAGTACCTCCAATCTCCTAACCCTGCTCCTGTTTCCCAGGTCCTGCTGTCCCTCCCCGAGGTGCCCCCAGAGCTCGGCGCCCTCCTGCAGCACCTGGGGTTGAAGCCAAACAGCGAGAAAGCTCCAGCTCTGCTGTAACCCACAAGCGTGAAACGTTGCCATTCTTAACACCATCGTTATTTATTGAATAAAGTTTGTTGACATTCACCCTGTCCCCTGCCTGGGGACACCCCATGCCCCCCCCCCCCTCCCATGGATGTGCTTCCCCCCTGGTGCTGCTCTCAATAAGGCTCCGTGTTCCCAAAGCTCCCACCCCATCTGACCCAGCTTCCCTCCCCAGGGCCCCCGCTCCTCCTCCTGGCCTAGATTTACCCCCCCTTCCCCCCCCCGCTGCTTTGGGGCATACGGGGAGGGGATGGGAAGCTGCATCCTGCCCCCCCCCCCCCCCCCCGCGACCTGTTGCATGGGGATGTGTTACTCCCTGGGGGGGGGGGGGGGAAATCCCATAGGTCTCCTTTTTCCCTACATAGAGCATCTCCCACAGGATCTGCCGTTCCCAACTCCAAAGATGCTCCCTGTGCCCTCCCCCCTCGCAGCCCAAAATAGCAGCACTCCAACAAGTGTGGCGCTCTGATTTTTCACGTCCTGCAGGCACTTGGGGTCACCTTCCTTTGCCCTCATTGACCCACGCCGGTATTTACTGCCTGTGTGGGTGGCACTGCTGCCGCTGTGACCCCGCTGCTGTGGGAGTGGATGTGACCCATGGATCCATGGGGTGGGGTGTGCACAGCTTTGGGATGATGATGATGATGATGGGGGGGGTTGAGGGGGGAGCATGTGCTGCCTGCCCTGGATTAGGGCCACACCAGTGCTGAGCCCTCCTTTTACGGATTCAGCAGCACTCAGTCCTGGCAGCCATCCCCTGGGGCGAGTGGGGACGCTGCTATTGTCCCTGTGCCGGTTTGGGGCGGCTCTGCTGGGACCTGAGGGGTGGGGGCTGTTCTCTGTGTGGGGCTCCCATACTGTGCTGAGTCTCTGTGGGGCTGGGGAGTACGGGGGTCCTTGCATGAGGATGTGGGGGTCCCTAGGAGCCGCAAGGGGTGGTGTGGGGGCTCCCATCCCATGGGGTGAGTGGCACAAGGGGTCCCTGTGCTGGGGGGGGTCACAGCAGGATCCCTAATAGTGGTAGAGAGTGGCCTAGGTGTGCCCCACAATGGCAAGGGGGGGGGTGTCTTTGGGTGTCCCATCCGTGGTATGAATGGCAGAAGGGGGTCTTTGCCTTGGGGGGAGGGGTCCCTTATAGCAGCAGGGTGTGACAGTGAGGCCCTGTCCCGCGGGTGACATTGCTTTGTCACTTCCCCGAACACTTGAGGAAGTGACACGGCGGTGGCACTGCTGCCTCCCCATCCCGGTGGGAAGGGGGATCCCCGACGGCAAAGCGGGGCGGCACAGGGGGGTCCTCAGTCGTAACCGATCGCTTCGGGGACCCCGAGAGCAACACGTGGGAGGGGGACACACGCTTTGGGGGGGGTTAGGAAGCGCCACCGCTGCGGTGGCGGCGAGGCGGGGCTGCGCGGGGGGGGGGGGGAAGGGGGCTGGTCCTACCGGGTGCCGCCCGCCGGGCCCGCCCCATCGGTCACGTAGCTCTGCGGCATCGCAGCCCCATTTACCGCGGGGCCGGAGCTCTCAGCCCGCAGTTCCGTACCCGTCGTCACCGGTCCCGCACGGTAAGTGGGGAGCCGGGAACGGGGAACCGGGATCTGGGTCCGGGGTGGATTACGGGGCGCTGCCGGGAGGGACCGACGGAAGGAGCGGCCGCCCGGACGGCTGCTGTGTGCGGTGCGATCGGTACCGCGGGGCTCCCGGGATGGGGAGAGGAATTCGGGCAGAGGGGTTCGCGGGTATGGGGGGGCTGCAGGGGGCGCGGGGCACCTCCTGAGCCGGTACGATGCATGTACTGCCCGGAGGGGACCGGCCTGGGGGCAGCGCGTTGCCGTTCCCACGTTGTCCTCATCCCGGAGCATCCCCGACTTTGGGGTCTCCCACTTTCGAGATCTCCTCACCTCTGGGGTATCCGTATCACGACGCATCCCCATCCCATCCCCGGCACCCAGCAGTCTTCCCACGCCCCAAACCCCCCAGGGGTACCCCTCTGCCTTCTTACCCCCATCCCCACTTATTCCCATGCCCCGTACCCCCTTGCCCCGCTCCGAGCCCCCCCCCCCCCAATCCGTTCTCCCTCAAGATGGCTGGGCTGGGGGCGGGCGAGCAGGCAGCAAAATGGCTGGGAGCTCTCCGGCATCCTCCATGAGGCGCTGCCCCGCTCGGGACTTATGCAACGTGACCCTATGGGGGGCCACGTGCCCTGGGCTGGGGATTGGGGAGGGGGCGAAGGGGGATTCCGGGGGTCCCAATCCCTGTAGGGTGCGGGCTCGTGGTGCGCACGGGGGGGGTGGGGGGGGGGGTTGGCGGTGGCGGTGCGTGACTCAGCCCTCGTCCGCCGGCAGGCAGCACCATGACGCACCAATACCCCGCGCTCACAGCCGAGCAGAAGAAGGAGCTGTCGGACATCGCGCTGCGCATCGTGGCCCCGGGAAAGGGCATTTTGGCCGCCGATGAATCCGTGGGTCAGTGAGGGGTTGAGAGCCGGAGGGGTGATGGGGGAGAAAGGGGGGGGGATCCGTCCTGTAGTGCTTCCCCTGTGGGTGACGGTGCTGGGTGCCCGCAGGGAGCATGGCCAAGCGCCTCAACCAGATTGGGGTGGAGAACACGGAGGAGAACCGCCGGCTGTACCGTCAGATCCTGTTCAGTGCCGACAGCAGGGTGAAGAAGTGCATCGGGGGGGTCATTTTCTTTCACGAGACCATGTACCAGAAGGCTGACGATGGCACTCCCTTCGTCCAGATGATCAAAGATAAGGGCATCGTTGTGGGCATCAAGGTGGGGGCAGAATCTGGTGGTTTATTGGGTGCCTGGGGACGGTCGTGGGGGATCGATGTTCACCCTCCATTCATCCATCCATAGGTGGACAAAGGTGTCGTTCCGCTGGCCGGGACAGATGGGGAGACCACCACGCAGGGTAGGCGAAGCAAATGTGGGGTGAGGGGTGGGAGATTTGGGGCCGTGGGGCTGACGTGCTGCTCGGCAGGTCTGGATGGGCTGTCGGAGCGCTGTGCCCAGTACAAGAAGGATGGGGCTGACTTTGCCAAGTGGCGCTGCGTGCTGAAAATCAGTGATAATACTCCCTCTGCCCTGGCCATCATGGAGAACGCCAACGTCTTGGCCCGCTATGCCAGCATCTGCCAGCAGGTACGAATCTGCAGCTGGGCACCCTGTGGAGTGGATACTGACCCATGGGATGGGTATTGACTCACAGATGTTGCCCCATAGTGATGGGCACTGATGAATGTTGCTCTGTAGGGATAGATATCAACCTGTGGGTTGGGCGTTGGCCTTGGGATGAGTATCACCATAAGGGGCCAGGCATTGACCCGTGGGGCTGGGCATCAACACATAGGCTGGGTAATATCTCGTGGGGATGGGTATCTGCTCCTGGGACCAAACATTGCCCCGTGGAATGGACATCTTTGTTTGGGCCAGTCATCACTTGTGGGTCTAGGCATCACACCACAAGCATGAACGTTGCCTGTGGGGCCAAGAATTGACACTCCCAGAATGGGCATCACCCCCAGGTCTAGGCTTTGCCTTATGTTGCTACGGGACAAAAAATGTGCTTGCGATGCCATCTGCCTGGTGTTTGCAGAACGGTATTGTGCCCATCGTGGAGCCTGAGATCCTGCCTGATGGTGACCACGACCTCAAACGGTGCCAGTATGTGACAGAGAAGGTGAGCAGTGGGGCAGGCAGGGGGATGGGGATGTGCTGTGCCATCCCATGCCATGAAACTCCATGCTGTCTGTTCCCAGGTGCTGGCGGCAGTCTACAAGGCGCTGAGCGACCACCACGTCTACCTGGAGGGGACCCTGCTGAAGCCCAACATGGTGACACCTGGGCATTCCTGCCCCACCAAGTACAGCCCCGAGGAGATCGCCATGGCTACTGTCACTGCTCTGCGCCGCACCGTGCCCCCAGCCGTGCCAGGTACTGCCCTCAGGACATGGTGGAAACCGCAGGAAGGCGATGCCGTGCGGTCAGCTTGGTGCCATAATGCTGCTCTCTGCAGGTGTCACCTTCCTGTCTGGGGGCCAGAGTGAGGAGGAAGCCTCCATCAACCTCAATGCCATCAACACATGCCCTCTGGTGCGGCCGTGGGCCCTCACTTTCTCCTATGGGCGGGCACTGCAGGCATCAGCGCTCAGCGCCTGGCGTGGGCAGAGGGACAACGCCAATGCTGCCACCGAGGAGTTCGTCAAGCGTGCAGAGGTGATGGGGGATGGCCCCTGTGGGATGGGGTGCCAGTGTTTGTGCTCTATGGGGGTGCGAGGGCCAAGAATGAAGTCCTTATGGGTGGTGGGAACAGCAAGAATCAAGTCTGTGTAGACAGCGAGGGCACCAAGAAGGAAGGGTGGTGGGAACACCTGTCCCTGTGAGCAGTGGGAGCACCATGAATGAATTCCCCGTGGATGGTGGGAACATCAAGTCCAAAGTCCCTACAGGCGATGGAGAAGACACGTCCTTGTGGGTGACAGTGGAGACTGAGGGCTGCGTTTCTGCAGAAGGATCAGGACACCAAGGGCCGTATCCCTGTGGTTGGTGGAATGCTGATGTCTTTGGGGTGGGGGACACCTGGAGGTGGTGGAGGGCACTGAGGACCATGCCTATGGGGTGCCGGGGCTGTGCCCCATGGCCTGGTGCTTTCTCTTCCCACAGGTGAACGGTCTGGCAGCGCTGGGCAAGTATGAGGGCAGCGGGGACGACTCGGGGGCCGCCGGGCAGTCCCTCTACGTGGCCAACCACGCATACTGAGCCTCCAGTGGGCCCTGCTGGCCCCCGCCCCGGACCCCCCTGCCACTGCTCACACCACCCCGCTTCCACCCCAGCCACCCAGGGGAGGGGAAGGTGGCCCCAAAAGGATGAGGGGGAGGCCTGGGTCCCCCCAGAGGGAAAAGGGGGCTCTGGCCAGGCCAGGGTGGGGAGGGCCCGGCCGTGTGGAGGGCAGGAGGGGAGGCCTGGGGGTGCCCCTGCCCCAGCCGTAGCTTCGCAGTCCCGGTCAACGTCGCCCTCGGGACGCTCATGTCGTGTTCTCGTGTGCACCCCGTGTACCAAAATAGCCTAACAGCGAATAATAAACGGTAGAGACAGCGCTGCTGTGCCTGGCTTCTTGCTCCCACACACGCGATGAGCTGCGCCCGGCCTCAGCCCGCCGTGGGGCTGCTTGGGGGTGGGGGAGGAGCTCTGCTTCCTCGTTCCTTCGTTACGCAAACTCGTGGGCACCGCCTGACCCTCTGCGGCACCCGTAGAGACCGAGTCCCGCCCGCAGTGCTCTGATTGGCTACGCCGCCAGCATAGTTGAGCCACCTCTCCTGTAGATCTACTCCTATTGGCCGCGCCTTGCGCCGGGAGTTTTTAAATGGCTGAGCTGGACATAAGCCCCGCCCTCTCAATGGGACGAGAAGAGAAGATGGCGGCGGCGGCGGCAGCGGCTGATGAAGCAGGTACCGGCGGCTTCGCGCCTCGGGCCGGGTTCGCCGCGGCCGGGCCGGGGCAGAGCGAGGTCCGGAGCCTCACCCGGGTGTCCCCGCAGAGCGCTCCCGGGGCCGCCGCGCCGCGCTGTCCTTCGCCGCCATCGCCGTGCTGCTGGGGCTGCCGCTGTGGTGGAAGACGACGGAGACGTATCGCGCCGCGCTGCCCTACGGAGACATCGCGGCTCTGGGCCGGCTGCCGGTGAGCGGCGGGGGCTGCGGGCGGGTGGGCGGGCCGGAGATGCGCCGTGACACACGCCGTGACACGCCGTGCTCTTACAGTTCCAGGTGGCCGTGAGCGTCTCGGTGGTTTTCCTGCCGGGCTCGGTGCCCGCGGATCTGCCCCGGCGGCTGCCGTACGGGGACGTGTGGGAGGAGCGGGTGCCCGTGAGCTGTAAGAGCCCCGCGGTCTGCCCCGCCAGCCCTCCGCGTTGCGCCTGGGAGGCACTGAGGGCTGCGTTCGGGTTTTCATCCCGGGTTTGTCTTTTCCCTCGCTGGCAGCACGATCCGATGTCACGTCCCGCATCGAGACGGCCTATCGCGGCGCAGCGGCGCGGGAGGAGGCGGCGCTGGGAGCAGCCACGGTGCGAGGTATGGGGGTGAGGGGTCACAGCAGGCACCGCCGTGGCTCTGTGTGTTTTTCCCTCCTGGAAGGGCTGCACGCGGGCACTTTGCAGCCCGACTTTAGCCCTAGACGAGCAGCTCTGCTTTCCGTGGCTGGCTTAGCCCAAAGCTTGGCTTTGCTGCCTGTGGGATGGGGAGCTGATTGAAAATCCTAGCTCTGCTGATGGATCTGTCTTCCTCAGAGGCTGATGCTGCTCTGCATGCACTGCAGGACTCTTCACCAGGCTCTCTGACTGTGTATGTGGTTCCTGAAACCTCCTCTCTCCTGCCTCAGGTAGGGAGGCAACCTGCAGTGCCATCCTCTGTGGAATGTTATGGCTATGGGGCAGGCTGTCCTGGAGGAAACCCACAGTTCTTATGTTCCCTGTTCTACCAGCATGCAGCCTGGGGTTCAGTGATGTAAAGGGACTTGCTGTAAAACCCTTAGTAAGAAATGGGACCGTTAGGAGCCGGGAGGAACATGGGATTTTGTCCCTTGAAGGTACCCTATGGGGACACATTCCTCCTCAGGTTGTCACGGGTGGCACCATGCTCTTTGGTGTGTTGGCAGAGCTGTCTCTGCTCCCAGTCCTCACTGCTGCCCCTTCCCCAGGGTGTCAACGTCTACGTGGGGAAGCATCGCAGCGCCCTGGTGAGGGCTGGGCAGGGCCTGGCCACACTCCATGCCCGCCTCCAGCAGCTCATGCAGGTGATGTCTTTCACGGCCAGCTCCATCGCTGCTGCCCTCTCAGACCGTGTTCCTGATGGTCAGCTCGGCCCTGATGCCTGGCGGCACTTGAAATCCAGCCTGGGTATGGATTTGCACCCCAGTTTCCTTTTCTGTCCCCCAGAAGGCCAGCTGCATTTTGGAGCGAGGCTGTTCCTACTCTACCTGTAGCAACCCTGAATGTCTTCTGGGATAATGGCCCCCAGAATCTTTCCTTTGCTTTTGTCTGTTGCTTGGGGACAGGACCTGCACTGTGATCCATATGTGCTGGGGCACTGAAGTGCGACCCCGCATCAAGGAGAGCCTGGGAGAAAGGGTGTCAGGTCCTGTGGCTCTGGGGAGCTCTCTTGCAGCCACCTGCCCAGTCTTGACGTCACCAGTTGGTGGCTGTGCTGGTGCCTCACACTCTGGGTGCTTGGCAGGGTACGAAATCACCTTCAGCCTGCTCAACCCTGACCCCAAGTCGCATGATGTGGACTGGGACATCGAGGGTGCTGTGAACCGCTATGTGCAGCCCGTCCTGGACAAGCTGAACCTCGTGGCCAACTTCTCTGTTGACTCACAGGTGAGGGCAGGGAGAAGTTATGGGGAGAAGCCAGCCCTGGTCCTGCCACGTGCCCTGGGATGTTCTTCTCTGCCAGCAACATCTGTGTCGTGTCCCTGCAGATCTTGTACTATGCTGTTCTTGGAGTAACTCCACGCTTTGACAAGGAGTCCTCCAGCTTCATCCTGAGTGCACACAGCCTCCCACATGTCATCAACCCTGTGGAGGCTCGGCTGGGTGAGCGCTGCTCTGGACTCCACTCTGGTGGGATCAGGCTCTGCTGAGGTGGGGACAGCTGTGCCTACACCTGTGCCCCTTCCCTTCCTACAGCACCTTTTTACCCCACATAATTGCGCTGGGGTTGCCTGAGACCCGCTGAGCTGAGTGCTCTGTTTGAGGCTTGCGGCTTAAGGAAGAGCAAGGCTGTGCTGTCTTTGTCTGTGTGGACCAGGGGAAGTTCTTTGACTCAGTTCTGCTTTAGGTTCCAGTGCTGCCTCCCTCTACCCTGTGCTGAACTTCTTGCTGTATGTGCCAGAGCGCTCCCACTCCCCACTCTACATTCATGACAAGGATGGAGCCCCAGTGGCCACAAATGCCTTCCACAGCCCCCGCTGGGGTGGCATCATGGTATGGGGCTGTGATGTTAGCAGTGCTAAACCTCCCCATAAGGCTCTGGCTGTGCCTTACTGACACGCTCTCCTGCAGATTTACAATGTTGAAGTCCCTGCTTCCCCCCAGACCTCTCTCCCACTGCACGTGGATGTGGACATGTTGAGAGTGATGGAGGTTTTCCTGGCTCAGCTCCGGTGAGGACTCACTCTTCCCTCCCCAGGCCCACATGTGCATTGATGGGGTCAGAGCCCCATGACTCCATGTTGGAGCCCACCAGCTTGGCCCCTCTGTGGGCTCTGGGAGGCTGAGGGTGAATTTCTGTGGCTTTTGGGGTGCTGACCACCAACCAACACCACTCCCTGGTCAGGAGTGTTGTTGTGTGTCCTGGTGTATGTGAGGCTTATCCTGCCCCACACTCAGGAAGCTGCTGGGTGTGAGCTGAGCCCTGCTGGGACTCAGTGCACCAGAGAGGGGGAAGAGCAAGGAGCACGTGCGTTGCGCATCCTGATGCAGGCTGGGACCTTCCCATCTGTTCCCAGCTTACTATTTGGGATTTCTCGGGAGGAGCTGCCCCCTGAGTTCCTGATGGAGAGCCCAGGGAATGAAGGACTGGCCGACTGGGAGCTGGACCGCCTGCTCTGGGCCCATACACTGGAGAATATTGCCACTGTGTCCACCACCTTGACCTCGCTGGCACAGCTGCTAGACCAGATCAGTAACATCGTCATCAAAGATGATGTCGCCTCAGAGGTAGGGCTGGGATGGGACACCCTGACGTGGAGGGTAGAGGGGGCCGGGAGCTGCTGGCCCTGTACAGAGCAGTGGGGCACTGCCCAGGAGCAAGGCCCCTTAGCTTTGCTTCTCTGGTTGAGAACTGACTGCTGTGGTGTTGCTGTGCAGGTATACCGAGCGGTGGCTGCAGCACAGGATGCCGTGGCAGAGCTGGCTGAGGGCCATCTGCACTCAGCTTTCCAGGCCAGCAAGGAAGCTGTCACCTCCTCGGAACGGGCGTTCTTCGACCCTTCTCTTCTCCATCTTCTCTACTTCCCAGATGACCAGAAATTTGCCATCTACATCCCCCTCTTCCTGCCTATGGCTGTCCCCATCCTCCTCTCCCTGGCTAAGATGCTCCGGGAGGCCAGGCAGAACAAGAAGGAACCCACCAAGATGGACTGAGCCCATGGAAGGTGCCCTGCCTTAGGGCTGGGACCCCACGGAATGCATTGCATCGTGGTGCAGGCAGGCACCCTGAACTGCATTGCCTCAGGCCCGGACTGGGGGTGTGTTCCAGAGTGGGAAGAAGCTGCTTTCAGGGGTGAGAGATGCTCACAGTCAGAGTCTTGCACCTTCCACTCAGAACTGCTGCTTGCACTCCTCTTACTGAGACTTGAGGGAAGGGAGGGAGACCTGCATGCGCCCCACAGCCCTGCGCTGTGCTCATGTGTAAATAAAGAACCCCCCTGCCCCGTCTGCCCCGATGTGCAGGGGGCTGGATGGCAGGGTGAGGGCCGTGCGAATCTGTCCTGCTCCCCGGGTTTTGTCCACCTCGAGTCCTGTCTTAAAGGTACGTAGCCTGCAGCACTTGGTGGGGAGGGGGGTTGTGGGGTTCAGCTGTTGGTAGGTGGTTATTAATGGGGTCGGTGAGCACTGGGTTTGAGTCTTATTACTGGGGTCGAGCTTTTCCCTTGGGCACGTTAACCTAAAAGCTCTCAAGTTGGGGGGAACCCCTTTGGGGTCGTACAGATGAAAAAGAAACGCGTTCAACCCGATGCTGTCGGGGTGCAAAGCGGGGCTCTGGCAGCGATGCCGGGCGGTGCTGCCGGCTGGGCTGTGCCGTGCCGGGGGGCGGTCCGTGCAGGGGGCGGTGCTGCCCCTCCCGGTGCGGCGGGGCCGGCGGCAGCGCTTAGCGGGGCCGATCACACCGGAGGAGGAGGAGGAGGCGGCGGGGCCATGAAGGTGAAGAAGAGCGGCGGGGCCGGGGGAGCGGCAGCGAGGACCGAGGAGGAGCTGGGTCGGAAAGCGCTCATCGGGCCCGACGACGTGCTGGGGCTGCAGCGGGTCACCAGCGGTACGGGGCCGGGGGGGCGCCGCGTTTGTATGGGGTGAAGGATGGGGCAGTGCTTTGGGTGCGAGGGGAGACCCGGTTTAGAGGGTGAGGGGTGGGGGTGACTTGCAGGGATGCTCACGTTGCGGAGTGGGACCCTCCCCTCCCCCCCAAGCAGGGTCAGAGGTGGGATGCTGCTCATTGTGCCCGTCCTATGGGTGGGCCAGGCTGAACCCCCAGCTGCGGGAGAGGGGGGAGCTGGAGGGGCTCAGATGGGGTCACAGATCCAATGGGGAGGAGTGTTATGACCATCCTGCAGCCTTCCTGTTTGTTTGGTTTCCCCTTTCTCACCCCCGTAGGGCTGCTGTGGTCTTGAGAGCATCCTATGGGGCTAAAGGGGCTGCTGTGCTTGTGTGGCAGCAGCTCTGTTGGACCTGTTGGGATTGCAGCGTGCTGATCTGGGAGATGGCACATGCACCAGGCCAGCCTGGCTGTGGAGTGTCCTCCTGCCCCCAAAAGGCCTTTTTGCATCCCGTGTGTTTTGTCTCGCTGCAGGGGAGGAAGGGGCAGTGATGGGTGGCTGTGCTTGGAGCAGGAACAGGGCTGCAGGCAGAGCTGTGCCACGAGAAGCCCCAGAAAGAAAGGATGTGGCTGTGGGTATTGGGGCATGCAGGCAGCCTTGGGGAGGGAGCAGCACAGGTTGGGTGGAGGGAAGGAGGGGAGGAAGCCCTGCAGGGAGTGCTGGTCCGGAGGGTCTGCTGTGTCTGTTTCCCTGCTGAGATGCTGTGCTGGGCTGTGACTCACTGCCCAGGCCCAGAAATCAGAGCAGCAGGCACTGGAGCGTGCTGCCAGCGCGCTTGGAAGAGCAGCAGTTGGATGGTGAGTCCCAGCCATGGCTGTGCTCAGTGCTTTGCTTGCTGGGAGCCCACGTGGCTCTGCATGCAGCTGTGCCCTCTCAGGGGGCTGCAGGCACGTGGCCCCCCCCCCCTGCCACTGGGGTGTGCAGACCTCACGTGGCTTCAACTCTGGGCACCCTGGCCTTGATGCTGCTGTTTGCTTTTGGTAAGCACCCATGTTTTCAGGAAGGCTGAGCTGATCACTCCACAGGGAGAGCAACTCTGCTGCCATGGGGCAGCGCTCGCATGCATTTCCTATCCATCTTTCCTGCACTCCATAAAGTGTCTTACTCTGCTTCTGCTTGAGTGTATGGCGGAGGTGTGAAGTTGTGATCCAAAAGGACCTGCATGCATTGGGGATGTGGCCAAGTTCACACCATCTCTGGTGCGTAGATCCCTGTAGGTTTGTATGGAAGCCCAGGTACAACTCCTTCCTCATTCTTTCTCCTCGCAGGTTGGTGTGTACAGTATGCAGCCTTGGTGCCTGTAGTTAGGGCAGTATCTGGGGTGTGGCTTGTTATGCCTGGAATTGGGAAGGAGGATATGAGGTAGAGAGCATGGAGATTGCTGCTTGGACCAGGAGAAAGATCAGCACATAGTTCCCCCTGTCTCTGTTTTAACGTCAGGAGAATAAGAGGAGCTGGCAAGGACTTTGGGGTGTCATGGTCATGTATGGCTTTTAAAGGGTATTACACCAGTCAGAAACTAGTGGATGGAGAAGTATGTGGTTAAAATTTCTTCTCTCCCACTCCTCTTCCATTTTTTCCTTCTTAGGAAAGCTCTCTTCTTCAAACTACTTGAATTAACTCTTTCCATTGCAGATCTTAGTGCCTATGTCACCAAGTCATCCCAACTCATGACCACGGCCACTTGTATCCTGCTGAGCCCAGTTTTGACCCCCAGATCCAGGTGTTCCAACTCACGTGAAGCTGATGGTTGGGCAGGAATTGCAGCACTACCCTGGTGCTGTGGCCATCCCTCACAGTTCCAGATAACTCATTTTTATCCCAACTTCTAGGCCAGTACTGCAGCAGCTCGCACTGTTGAACTCATTCTGCTGCTCGTGGCTCTGCTCCTGATGCCTTTCTAATAAGCTTAAAGGGGGAGCGTGCAAGCTGTCCTGCATATCCTCCATCACTTCTGGACACGCTAAGGTCAAACTGATGGACCCAGGGTGCTGCTCTGGTGTGTTTGGGTCTTTTTAGGGCTGGGTTTAGGCGTAAAGCAGAGGGACCCGTTTTCTTTGCAATTAGCAGGATTCGTTACTTGCTCATCCAACTGCGGTTACAAAAGGAGGAAAACCTTGTGACGTGATTAACTTGGGATTAGCAAAGGAGCAGGGCAGAGCTCAGTTCAAATTGCAATTAATTACTGCAGCAGCAGGAGGATCAGAGCGGTGTGTCTGCAGTTATTGGGGTGTGCATCTGCCAACGTTGTCCTGCGTTGTGGGGCAGGGAGAGGAGCTGAGCACTGTCCCTGTCGCCTTCGACCAGGCTGAATGTTTGCTAGGTCACGCTGTGCTGCTCCCACGTTGCCTGCAGGCGAGGTTAATTCCAGCACAGCTTTGATTTCTTTGTCTGGCTTTGGGATGGGAGCCATGGGTGGTCAGCAGGAGGATGGCATCGTGGTATTTGCCATCCCCCTATTGCCACGTGACGATGCCAGTTGTCAAACTGATGCATAACCAAGGGCAAGCTTCAGGCTGAGAGCACTGTGCATAGCACAGCTCTGGGCAACTTCACAGTTTGTCTGTGCTGCTGGGATAAGGCTTATCTTCAGTTTTATATTCCAAGTTTTGTTCTGAGGGCATCTTTGATGCTAGCAAACCGAGAGGTTGGATAAATGATTGATGACATACTTGGAAACACTTACAAAACAAAGCCTAAAAATAAGGAAGGCGTGCTTAATCGTTTCTGAAAGTAATCTCTTCCGTGAGCTGTCATTTGGGATCTCTCAGAGGCAGCAGCTTTAGCCAGCCTGTCTGAGGGGCCCAGTGGTCAGGGCAGGCACCTGGTGAGTGCGCTGCATTCCAGCTGAGCTGTGTTATCATGAAGCAATGCGTGCAGATCAGTCTTCAGAGCTGTTCCTGAAGCCACGACTTTCCCTTCCTTCCCTGTTTAATTGAGACCACTCACTGCATCAGGAGCCCTGATTACTGGGGGTGTCGGTGGGGGGGTTAATGAATCACTGTCTGGGGCTGCGATGTGTGGAAGTGTTTTGATAGGCAGATTTCCTGCAGCAGAGCCATATTGCAGAGCTGTGTCGAGCTGCTGTCACCGTGACTTCTTCCCTCAGCAGCACAACAGACGCTGCTACGAACCTTTTCAAGGCATGGTGACGGCTCCCAGCTTGAAGTGCTGTGCTGAGGAAGGGCTTTGTTAGCACTCTCACACTGCAAGATGGGCTGTGAGATCTCCAGGGGAGCACATATGGGGTATGGGGAGCACCAGGGCTGAACTGAGCGGGTTTGTCCCTTTTGCCAAGGCCTTAGGGTTGCTCTGTCCCCAACAGGGATGGCGAAGGGAATGGAAAGCTGTGGGATTTGAACTGGTGAGGCAGAGGGCAGGGAGGTGGTTGAGTTCTTTCTTTAATGGAAACGTGCCCTGCCTTCCCCTCGAGGTCCTGCACTCTGTCCTGCGTCACCGCTCCGAGTCTTGGCTGGGCTGGTGCTATTTTTTGCTCGCTTCCTCCTGAGTCTCTTCAATCTGATAATCTCCTAATCTCCAGCTCCCAGCAATTCCTCTGCAGTCGTCTCTGCTTTATACCTGGCTTACACCTTGGGAGTGGTCTTTAAAATAGTCGCTGACCTTGATGGCTAATGCATGTTAAGAAATAGGTCCGGATGGCAGCTGGAATCTTCTCATTCCCTAAATTCTTGTCATTGCGATGGGGAGACGCGATCCTACTGCAGGCCGCTGTCGCTGTGTCTGTTTCTCGTACAGCATCCTCACAATTTACATTCCTTTTCACCACCAGATCTTGAGTTCCTTCTTCCCCTTGGGAGTAACACCCAATTTCATCCACTAAATAGCCTACTTGGTGAGGACAGGCATTTGCAGATCTTTGGGCTTGATACAGAGCCCACCATGTCCGCTGACCATGGCCCTCAGTGCCGCATCCCCGTGGTTTCTGAACACTTCCATGGATGACAACTCCTCCACCTCCTTGGGCAGCATTGTCAATGCATCACCGCTCTTTGGAGAGTAAATAGTTCTTAATATCTGACCTGATGCTCTCCTGGTGCTACTTAAGGCCATCTTCTCCTGAGATAGTCATAAATGTGAATAACTTTGGGTTTGGAGTTCATGAATGAACATGAATAAAGTTGGGTCTGGATATAGCAACCACTGTACTTTAGGAGGAAAGGGTCCTCTGTTGTGATTTGTTTTTGTAGTACTTCCCCTGGGTATTGCAGACTAAGAAACAATCTGCTGGGTTTCCTAAGATGTTCGTGTGTCCATTCCTTCATCGCTTGTTCATCAGTGGTGCATCAAGTGAGGGTTTGTTCAGGAAGGCACTGTCATTATTGGGTTCACGGCATGGAAACAACGCTACCTGCTTTGGAGGAAGTGAAAGAAGCAAGAACCAAAAACTCCCTTTCTTGTAATGATCCACTTCATCTACTGGAGCTTTGGGGAACCGTGGGGATGTGGCACTGAGGGCTGTGGTCAGTGGGCGCAGTGGGGTGGGTTGGATTTGGGGATCTGAGAGCTCTTTTCCACCCTGAATGATTCCATGATTCCTTTCCCCAGACGCCATCTGATTAGATAGGGGTGCACCTATCAAAATAAATCAAGGTTCTTGAATATTTTCTATCGGCAAAACTAGTGCAGGGGTGCAGGCAGTGATGGGCAGGAGCACGGTGGGGATTCTGCTTGGGGTTTTCTCCATTCCGCTGGTTCTGATTTGCTCTCCTCTCCTGTGGATGAGTCATGGACACTGTTTCTGTAGCAACACTGCTGCCAAGGAGGGGGATAAAGCTGTTGCCATGGTGCTGGATGGGCAGGAATTCTGCAGGAGGAAAGCACTTAATAATTAACTTGCAGACAGACGCAGCTCCAGACTTGCCTTTGTGCTCTGGGGGAGGCGCCCTGGGCTCCCTGCTTCCCAGCACAGGGAAAGGCTTCAACGCCATTTTCAGTGCCGAGGGATGATGAGTCCTTGCGTGGGATGAGTGTTGGCAGAGGGAAGAGGCCGTGCTTTGTGTGGGGAGAGGGGAGATGGCGTGGGGAGGGGGATCCTGCTGCAGTCAGTGCAGTCGGCTTAGTGCCCGCAAAGCTGCTTAGTGCTCACATTCTGCCAGAGGGCAGTTTTTAAAAAGGCAAAGCCTCTTACCCTGAGCAGGCAAGGATTTGGTGCAGGTGCTGACTGCTCTCAATGCCCTTAAGGAGAAATGGAAGCAACTGGCACGAAGTTGGGGAAAGGTGATGACCTCTGAGTGCTGGGCAGCGTGAGCACGCGATGCTGGCTCTGCCTTCGTAGGCACAAAGCCTTCATGTCAGTGTGCTTTCTTCTGCAGATTACCTATGCACTCCAGAGGAAAACGTTTACAAAATAGACTTCACCAGGTTTAAAATCCGGGATATGGAATCGGGCACAGTGTTGTTTGAAATCACCAAGCCAGCAGCATCAGGTGGGTGTGCGCGCACAGGATTGCCTTTGTGAACGAACCATTATTAACACCTGCTTCCTTTGGCCTGTTCTCATCCCTTTTACTGAACATGTCCCCTCAAACAGGAGAAACTTTCACCTGCAGGAGGGCTGGATTCCCAACCTGCAGCAGAAACGCTGTTCAGGTATTCCTCTGTACCAATACAGCAGGCAGAATTAATTGCTCCTGTATTATGACCTCCATCTGTGATGAGAAAGGACAGATGGATGTTGTAAATAGAAGCAAAGGAGGAGGAGGTCAGCGTGTGTTGGCTGCTCATGAGCCCATCAGCTCATGTATGACTGTGCAGATGATGTCCTTGTATTTAATAACCCTGATTTCTTGAGCCCATGTGCCAATGTCTTGAGCCAATGCAGAATCTCCTGTGTCCTATGGCAAAGAATCTCCCTGCTTAACATTGTGCTGTGGTTAACACTGCTTTTGCTTTGGACCTACTGAGTACTAACTTTAAGTATCTTCTATTTAACAGTGAACAGATAATTTCTAAAGCTCCCAATCTGTAACCGCTTTCAAAAACCAGACTTTCACCTTTCCTCGACAAGGAAAATCAGGATTAGAATCTCTAATAGATAGCTCATAGTATTTTGTGCGTCCTTCATTTTGGTGGCAGAGCCTCAGACGTTCATCTGGGAATCTTTTTTGCTCGGAATATATGTTTTCTTAGTGAAAATACACAGCCATGCTCATGCAGGCTCTACACAGAGGGCTCTTTGTCTGCTCGCTGTTCTGCCAGAGGGACCTTTAGTTCTTTTTTTTGTTCAGGGGAACCAATTTCCAACTCTGCCAACTCAACGCGGTTGGCCCCAGGGTGCAGAAAGAGAGCGCAGCTTTGCCACCGAGGCAGAGGAATAAACCACCAGTTTCCACAGTGGGATTGTTAGGAAGGAATGCTGTCCCAATGCAGTCTTTGCACTTTTGCAGAGCGTGAACACAATGACAAGAAGGACGTTGACCCCAACGCGGGGCGCTTCGTGCGCTACCAGTTCACCCCAGCTTTCCTTCGCCTGCGCCAGGTGGGGGCCACGTAAGTAACAGCTCCTCGTGCTGCTTTTCCTACTGGGATGTGTAAAAAGTGGCTCTTTGCTCGTCGATCCCACCAGGAAGTTGAGTTGATTTAATAGGGACCGTTTGTTGCGATGGGGATCTCCCAACATCTTTGCTGGATGCCTTGTTTCCTCCATCACTTTAGCCTATATAGAATCACAGAATCATTCAGGTTGGAAAAGAACTCTCAGATTCCCACCCCACCATGTCCGCTGACCACAGCCCTCAGTACCACATCCCCACGGTTCCTGAACACCTCCATGGATGGATGGTGCCCCCCCATCTCCCTATGCAGCTGTGCCACTGCAGCACTGCTCTTTGGAGAAGAATTTTTCCCTAATATCCCAATTATTGCTTCCTGCTTCCCTCCCCCAGGAGCAGGCTGGTGGGCTTCTGAGTCTTTACTAGGTATTTTAGAGGGATATGTGTCACTACATGGTAGCTGTTTGTTATCTGCTTTTCTTTATGTTCACTGAGGTTTAAATTCAATCTAATTAAGAGTGTATGCCCACTGCTAATATGGCATTAAGTCCACAGTACTCTACTGACCATTGGTTAGAGCTCCTAGTATAAACCTATTTTATTCAGGTGGTTAGAAGTTGGTCTGCAGTGTGAGAGTTCTGTCAGCTCCAAATGTGTGTTTCTGAAGGACTGATGTTACTCCTGCTCTAGGTTGAAGTTCAGCACGTCGTGTGTAACCAACACCTACCTTTCTCTAAGAGATCATGCCTTGTGGCAAAGAGAAACTTATATACAGTGCTGGTTCTAACTTCTCCCCCTTTATAAAGCAGAAAAGGACCAAAGGGGTCTATTTGTACATCTGCTTTTTTAATACCCATCAGAAGAATTAAATAAGCTTGAATGGCAATCCAGTGCAATAAGGAACTTCTAGTGATTGACGTAGGGGTGCTCGAAACCCTTCTTGAGCAGAAAGCTCATTTCTCTCTCATTCTTCCTTTCCAGGGTGGAATTCACAGTAGGGGACAAACCCATCAATAACTTCCGCATGATTGAGAGGCATTACTTCCGTGATCAGCTGCTGAAGAGTTTTGACTTTGAGTTTGGGTTCTGCATCCCCAGCAGTAAGAACACGTGTGAGCACATCTATGAATTCCCACAGCTCTCGGAGGATCTCAGTAAGTTCAGTTACTGTGATGCCATCTCATGTGTTTTAGTGTGGGCATCAGAATTAAATCTGTGTAACCTTATGCTCTTTATAACCTCTCATCTTGTATGTCAGTAACCTTGTCCTCATACTGCAGCCTGTGGAAATGATTGACTGCTGCTTGCTTATTGTCACACCACAAGAGTGTTCTGAGGATAGGTAGAGCCCTTAGATGTTGTACGGTGCCTCAACATGTCTGGGTTATGAGTTCCTTAAAAGAGCCTTCAAACAAAGTCTACAGGAAAGCCAGCGCAGCCTGTTGTCTCAGCAGGGCTTCTGTTTAACACAATTGATTTTTCTTTTCCCCCTGCAGTTCGAGAGATGATCCTCCATCCATACGAGACACAGTCGGACAGTTTCTACTTCGTAGATAACAAGCTGGTGATGCACAACAAGGCAGATTATTCATACAGTGGAGGACCTTGAGAGCGGGATGGACAGCCAACCTGGGCTGGCCTTTGCTTTCCAATTGAAGTCATCAGGGACACCAACACCTTCGGTTCAGTTGCCTACAACGTCAGCTGGACACGGATCCACAAACCAAGGACTCTGCCACAGTAGGAGTTTCATGACCAAACTGGCCAGCCTCATCTCTTTGAGCAGACCCAGATCTTCAGAGCTCTGAGCGGTTCTACGATGCTACGCGAACTGTGGATGCCACTTCCCTATGTTCTTCAGGTGTCTGCTTTGAACATGGCCTTGTGGGACCTTGTGGGATTTTGCAGATCTGTCTACTTCCCTCACGTATCCTTTGGGACGCGATGGTTTTGGGAAAAGCAATTTGAGAAATGCAATGTGAGTGGACGGATGCGAGCGCAGAGTTTTGGTTGGTTGGCTCTTGTTGTGAATGCTTCAAAAGCACGGCCAGTTTTAACCTGTACATCCAGCTGAAAACCTTACAGGATCAAGTTTCATCTTTTGGATTATTGCTCTAAATAAGCATCTCATCCCTTTGTTTTGCTCCTTCTGTATAATGGTTTTGAAATCTTGGCAGCAATGAAACATGCAGTGAAGACCGCTAGTTTCATCAGGTACTGTGCTGCATTTCAGATGGAAGAACATAGTGTTGGGTGTCTACAAGCCCTCTAAACATCCTCCATTAATTTCAGTTTTTGCAAACTGAATCCAGAATAGTCTGGCCCAAAAAAAAAAAAACAAAAAAGAAAAGGATTTTAGCTTTATTTAATGCTTTTACATAGCTACCATTCAGCTTGTCCGTGCTATGTGTCATACATGTCTATTTCTTTAATCTGTGCTCAACACTAAGACAAGGGCTTCAGCAATGCTCGTTAGAGCAACACTAATTTGTCCAAGGCAGTCAGAAAGTGTGGAACGTCTAATCTCTCATTTGTATCTGAATTTGAAGTGTGCTATGTCAGCTTTTTCCCTTTGTTTTGCACTGGGTATGAATACAGGTGAAGCAGCAACTCTAATAATGTCAGGCTTTAAGCCTTCTCTGTAAGAACTTTAAGAACAACCTTGCACAAGTTTCTCAGGATGCACTTCTTAGGAAGATAATAGTGCAATGAAGTAGCAGTGTCAATAGCATAGTGCATGCAAAACCAAACCTGAGAAGGTTGTGCAGGGTCAAAGCTTCCCTCCTTCATTTTTCCCAATTGCCTGTTGTCATGAAACCCTTACTCTAAAGATCAGTGATAGCTTAAAAGAGGAAAAAAAGGCAGTTGCAGTCTGTAGATATTCCTATAAATACTTGATGTCTCCATGTCTGTTCCTGTGAGTTGAAGTGGAATGTTCAATGTTAGCCTCAGATACGTGTGATTGTACTAATTTTTATAAACTACCATTTCCAGTCGTGACGAACCTCTCCTTGGTCGCAGCTGAAGTCAAACAGGAGAACTACGAGTGGTTGCAGATGGGATGTAAGAGCAGGGAGGCTGCGTGCTGTTACTGGTAGATGGCTGTCAGCTGTGGGGACGTTTCGTAGCATCACAGAGCCGTTCAGGTTGGAAAAGAGCTCTCAGATCCCCGAGTCCAACCCCAACCCACCCCACCATGCCCACATCCTTCAGTGCCACATCCCTATGGTTCTCCAGCACCTCCAGGGATGGGGACTCCATCACTTGAAGGATTCCATTTTCTAAAAATTTTTTAAGGTTGATTGTTAAGAAAGTGTGTAGAAACCACTGTTCTGACACGGCTGCTATCAATCAGTAATTCTTATCACGATGAGACTTGTATTTATTGCTGCTTTTTGTTGGTAATGTATAAAACTCAACATCTTGCCTACGGCTGTTCGAGGGTTGCAAAGCGTTTCCTCCGTATTTGTATTACGCTCTGAGCTACGGATCAGCAAGTTTTATAGCACAGTAATGATTAAAGGTGAGAACAGTTCCAAAAGTCTATGTCCTCCCCACCCTTTTTTCCCTTCATCTTTATATTCAGTGACATCGTGCAAATTTGAGCGTTGGTTTTGTTTCGACTCTGGAGTGAGCAAACTGAAGACAGAAGAGCGTCTGTGAGTGGCACCCTGTGCAGCTGTAGGTGTTGCTTATTTGTTTTAATCACTGCTATCTCTCAGCACTTTCCTGCTGTTCATCATAATCACTTCTAGTGAGGGTGCTTGGCCAGAATTGCCAGTCTTACCTTCCAAACAGCTCTGTTGTCTTCGTGTATTCCTTTATTTTGGTGCAGACTCTCATCAGTCTTGGGTTATCCAACCGAGCATCTTTGTACGTTGACCAATGTGCAAAGCGTTGTTTGCCGAGCTCTCTGAGTCGTGTTCTGGTCCCTTTTAATGCTACCTCCCTTTATAGGAGTACAAAAAAGGAAGTAATCTCATGAAAAGAATAATGCTGTAATCAGCTCAGTAGGTCCCTACAAGAAAAGAACATGAAGTTGCATTTTTCCCAGTAGTTCCCAACAGTTCTGTTGAATGGACTTCCTGACATCCCGCATCGGGTGGTTGAACACAAGAGGACAAACTATCCGTGCTGCTCTCTGTCCCCAGCTCTGCTTGCTGTTCTGCTAATTGAGATTGGATGGCTCGTAATTTCAGGCTAATAGAAAATTCAGTGTGAGTCACATGGGAGATATTTTACTACATGTGTTTTGTTTTCTAATGATAGAAGTGCTTTAAACCTGGAGAAAAGTGTGGGGCGTTTTCAATAGCATCAATTCCAACCTGTTGAACTTCAGCTTTTCAGAGCAAGGTCTGTTCCCTTTTCATTTCTTTCTATTTTTTTATTATTATTTTTTTTAAGCCTCCACAATTTCCTACAAATAAATTCCTATTCCTAAGCCAATGGAAACAACAGGACTTTCCTGTGGGATATGCAATGGAGATCCTTTTGTGTTTCCCATTGCCACGGTTACCATTATGGCTCCATTTCCCATTCAAACATGTTTGCATGTATTTAAAATCTCCACTCACACTATTTACAAACATGGAAATTATTGACCAGGAGGGAGTTTCCTTTATGCTGCTGCACAACCAGATGGAAATCTACGCTGTTGACTTGGGATGCGCTGCTTTTGCCCATGAGCAGCACCAGAATGATGATTTTATTTTTCTCATTTTCAAAATGATTTTAATTATTTAGCACTGTTTGAATGAACCAGAGTGGAAATTTCTGGCTTTCTGAATGAAAAAAAAAAACAAAAAAACAAGCCACATCAAAATCCAGCCTAGATTATGTTAGCAGTGAGTCGTCATCTCTCGCCATGTGACGTCGACTAGATGTGTACTGGTAGTGAATTAACCTGAGATGAAGAAGCGGGTGCTAATAGTGTCCTTTTTAAAAAACAATAGGGAAGTTATATCCCAAACTTTCTTATTTTATTTGAAATTCACTTACATTTCAGAGTTTGCAAGGAAGAACAGTGGTAAAACATTTGTGGTTGCCTGCATGGTCCAATAATCCACAAACTTCAAAAGGAGAAATAGAACGGTTTATTTTCAAGAACACACCAAGAATAATTTAAATTTCAGGAGTCTTCTTCTCCTGTCATTGAGCAAAGCCTAAATTATCACCATGTATGTATATATATGCTGAAGATGTCCTTTATATCGTGACGTTTCTGAATTAACTCCCCCTGATGGGGATTTATCCCATTCTTAATGCAGAAAGTCTTTTCAGTTTTGGAAACTGTGTGATGGCCAACCAATGAAGAGCCATCAGAACTGTGTGTGTTGTGACGGTCATGAGATGGGTTTACATGCATTGACTGCAGTGGTAGAAGATATCTATGGGGTAAGAAAAGCAGGGAGGGGGACAAGGACAGGAAAAATGTTGATGGCAGCTGGTTGGAACCCAAAGTTTTGGTGGTGTTACAGATGTAAATGCTTTTTCTCTGGCGTTTTGGAGTGGGCAAGGCATTGGAAGTGGTGGATGGTCCTTGAGGTCCCTTCCATCCATCCCATGGTTATGCCAGCAGCCCTTTTTTCTGTGCCCAGCACAGGTGTGATGACTATGGAGCACTTTATACAAATGTTTCCCCTCCATGAAATCTCGTTGGCTGTTCATCTCATTTTCTAAGCACGGAACTGTATCAGAAGAATGTGATGCTCACTTAATCTGATATCACAGCCTGACTGAGGGTGGAATTGTGTGTCTGTATCTGTTCTGTAGTAACTGCCTGCCTAGAATCACTGTGTTAATGCCCACTGTGCTTTCTGCTCGCACCCCAATGCTACACTGAGGAACCCTGTTTGAATGTGACATTGACTATTTCTTTTTTTGCATAGAGTCAGGATTGTCTGTATTAAAATGTATTTATATAAAAAAATTATATATATCTATATATTTTTTTGTGGAAGGAGAGTAGGATTCTAGTTATTATGCCATTGAGAAAACATTAGGAGCATTTTTATCCAGTTCATTTATAATTCTTTGTACCTTCTGGGGCAGTGAGGAACCGGTTGGAAATGAAGGTAAAAAAAGAACATTGGCAATGATTCCACTGTTGTGGCTTTGGTTTCCATCTGCTTGACTTGTTTGCGGATGGATAAAGGGGGAGAACAAAGATTGAGGCCACAATTCAGTCTCCCTGTAGGAGGAGAGAACTTCAATCTAACCTACGCAAGGACGGGGCAGGGATGGACACTTGCTGACTTGAATATTGGCAGTTTAGACATAAATGTGCATCTAGGCAATATGCTTTAATTTCTTCCATGACCGAGGGAAAATGGTTCAATGTGTCACTCTCCTTAGCAAGTGTTTCCTCTCCTGTAACATCCAAAATGTAAAAAAAATAAATAAATTTAAAATGAAATAAACTATTGATCTTAGAGATGGAGGTGTTGTCCATTCTTTAATGCTATATCTTTGATAGTGTGTGTGTTATTTAATGATAGATTTTTATGTAGTGTGTGTGTTATTTAACGATAGACTTTTATATTAGAGCATGGAAAGTACATTTTCATTGCTTTTCCTCAATGTTTCAATGCCATTTTTGCCCCAGTGGATGCAACCACCTTCACTTTCAGGTGATGACAGTGCACGTGTAGAAGCTCTTCTGTGGCTTGTAGCTACGTAAGGAGGACGATTAATTCAGGTTTGAAATGGGGTTCAGCCTTCTGATGGGTGAGAATCTTTCGGGGCATAATTACAGTGAATTATTCTCCAAGCTCGCTAACAAAACTCCTGCAGATGGCGGCTTTGCAGCTGGTTGTGCTTTGGAAAACTCTGCCAGCTGCTCTATGGAGAACTGACTGTAGGAGCTGATGCAGCATCGTGATTCGTGTCTCTGCCACGGTGACCAAAGGCAAAACATCTGAAGTGAAGCAGAGCCAGCGGAGGTCGTTCCATCTTCATTTTTTGGAGCTGTGTGACGTTCCTGCGTTGAACCCTGCAGTGACCTGGGCACAGGTTGGTGGTGGGGTTACTGCTCAGCGGTGGTGGGGATGCACTCCAACTTTGATTTCAAGTGGAGATGTTGGTTGCCCCTCAGGTTTCTGACACTATCAGCTCTGTGCACATCGTGCATGCTCACACCGTGCTGTAATTCTTCTGCCATTATTCAAGGGGTTCATCTTCCTGTGACTTAATGAAGCTGGTGCATGAAAGTAATGCGTAGCAAGAAATAAAAGCAGGCAGGGAAGTTGTGATACATGAAATACGTAATGATATTTATGTTATGAACATCAATATATCATGCAGGATACGAGTTCCAAACATCTTTGGTTTTCCTTCTCCTGTTGAAGGACAGAATGAATTAGAAGAGGGAAATAGCAAACAGGATAAGGTAGCACCTTCGTAGTTCAGCTATAGTGAGTCAGGCGATGGTTCCAGATCAAGAATTAGTGGAGTTTTGCTACATGCTATAAATCAGGTTTGAAACAATACTACAGAAATGTACTTTGCAGCTGAAAAAATAGATGCATAGGGTTCCTGGGGCTGTCTGGCAGGCGACACTTGCAGGAAATCTAAGTACAAGTGTCACCTCTTTGGCAACTATTATTTCAGATAGCATTCAGATTTCTTTAAATCTGAAATGAGAAGCTTTCTTTAAAGCTGAAATGAGAGATTTTTTTCTACCCAAAGCAAAATCTTGCACCAAAAGCACTGCAGTTTGGTCTATTGGATATAGTAATTTTTTTTTTCCATAGTGAGGGTTCCTCTTTCTCTCCTCCTCCTTTCTGTCTTCCTCCTTTCTCTCCTTTGCTTTCTTTTTTTTTTCCCCTTTGCTTTCTTTTTTTCTTTTCTTCTGATGTTCTAAAGTTATGGAGCTAAAGGTAAACGCCGCAAGCGATCACTCGAACCTGGTGCCTCCAACAGGCACAAACACGCTGGGCTCCTTCATGTGGTTGAAGTTAAATTCTTCAGTAGTTGATGAATGAGATCTTTGCTCATCCAGGCTGGGCAAATCCCCTTCCCTCATTCTTTGAAACAAAAAAAAAAAGATTACTTCTACTGAAAAACTCACAGCTCACATCATCTCTTCCTAAAAGGCCCTTCCAAGCCCTTGTGCCCACAACGCATGGCACAAACCCTGCGGGCTGCCGCCTCTGTGGTGGTTTTCTGGGGAGGAAAGCAAAGCATAGGAAATACTGCAGGGCCACACCTGCCTCGTTTATAGCTCATTACTCATCCCCACCCACTGCAGGGCCCTCTGTATTTCCTTCAATGTGCCATTACCAGCACAGCTTTGCCTGCGCTGTGCTGAGGTGGTTTCTACTCAGCAGCCCTTCCTCCTTCAAGTCCCCCTCCAGTGGGGCTGGATGTCCCCACCAGCAGTTGCCACTCGTGGGTCTGATGGCCGCCTGGCTTTCAGGCGAGGCCATCAGTCACCGTCCTGCTCCCTGCTGTGCACTGCACCTTACTTGGCGTAATTGCTTTCCTGGTGATTAAGAAAACTGAGTAATGCACCTCACGATGACCAAACCTGGTTGCTTTTGTGGGGAGTAAAAAGTCCAACGGTTTTTTTTCTCTTATCTTTGGGTCAGAAATGGGCTCCTGAGCAAAGGGATGCTTTGGTGCTTTGTTAGTCGGCCAGCTGAACCGGCAGCTTTAGCAACCGAGGCTCGTCGCTGTGTGCCAGCCTTGCGCTATCTGCGGAGAAACAATCTGCAGCAAGGTCAGCGTGAGCTCAGTCCTGGGAAAGGAATTCTGGCTCTCGAGGACGTGGAGTCACAGAATGATTAAGGTTAGAAAGGAGCTCTCAGATCCACAGGTCCATCCAACGTGCCACAGCCCTCAGTGCCGCATCCCACAGCCCTGGGACGCCTCCACAGTGACCCCAGCACCTCCCTGTGCAGCCGTGCTGCTGCCACCAACGCTCCTTATGAGGAGAAACTTTCCCTAGTGATCAATAACCATCAGTTACCGCAGCCCTGCACTCCAAATGTTTGTTTCATCCCACGTGAGAGTGAAGCGGCGCTGATGTTCTGCGCAGTGCTTTCTCTGCCCCGTGATACCATTAATCACACTGCTAAGTGGCTCAGCGCTGTGCCAAGGCCTTGAGAGATTAAGCTGAAAAGAGCAGTATGTAGAAAAGGAAACGAGCCTTCGGAGGTGATGACTTTATAACAGGAGCAGGGAAACGCACAGCAGGCAGCCTGCTGTGGTCAGAGGTCTGCCAACAGTAAATCTGAGCTCACGTCAAGGAAGAAGAGCCTGAAAGCAGAGTTCAAATATCATTTCTGTTCTTTGCATTTTCTGATGTTGAAATGAAACGCACAGAGTTCAGCTAATAAACCCTAAACTTTAGAGTGCAAATGTTTTCCTAATCGTATGCCGGAGAGGGCAAGAGCGAGCACTTTCTTCTGTTTCATAATGATATATTTTTATGGTAATTAAGATTGTTTTTCTCGCTTGTTTGCATAATGCTGTTGATTCAGGCTGATTAAGCAAACATCATTAACCTCAGACCGGGAGAACTTCATTCTTTTCCCCCTTGTATTGGCGCTGCTACTTAAAATGGCCTTTAACACAAATGTATCTCATAGAGATTTGCAATGTGTGCACAATTCTCATTGCATGGTGTAGGTTAGGTTTTTTTTCTTTTAATTTTTTTTTCTGGAATTGTAATTTATCATACAGATCTTTCTTCACGTTCCCATATGTCAGTGTTTGTTATTTTTTTTATGTGCGTGTCATAATCAGTAATGCTGCACTGAAGCAAGCCAATGAAACTCTCTATAGAGGAGCCTAAAGGGAGGGGAGGGAACCCAGATTATTTATATAAATTAATAACTTGCAGTCTTTTTTAATGAATGATTCCTTTTCTCTTAGCGTAAGAAAAATTATGGAATGACTTTTAATTTCTGTCTCACATATAGAATGCATTGGAAAAAAATAAAGTGCTTAGAATAAATTAGCAATTACATAGGGAGGACAAGCCTTGTTGATACAGTATGGCAAGAAAGTTGTGCAAAAATACAAGAAAAACACGTCAGGGTGTGAATTTCCCTTTCTGTGCTTGACTTCTGGTCATTCTTCAAAGGCTTCTTACCATGGAAAATAAGGAGTATGTTATGAAGCTTAGGCTTCTCTCTTTTTTTCTCCCCTGGTTGTGATCATGTGTGTGATTGCATGTATAGAATGCATTAGTGCATCTGAAAGAATAGCATGGTCTGCTGAATGGAGATCTTAGAATATATGAATTGCTTTCCACTTAAATTAAATCCTTAATGTAGAAAAATTATATATATATATATATATACATTTAATATTTATGAATTTTGAGTTTCTGTAGCTCATCCTGGGATTGTCTGTAGTCATGCTCTCAGTATTAATGGGTTTTTCATGTCTCCAGGATTGCTTTAATCACATATACTTTATTACAGTTCTGCTGTGTTTTCAGACTCGTGGAACTTCTTAATGCCCTTCTGGGGTGTTCTTAAGCAATTTAGTGACAGCACTCCTTCTGCCAAGTAGAAATATTGGGAAGATTGCTAGTTGTGTAGGAATGCAGAGCGAGAGGGGCTCGAGCGTGGCCTTCATCATGAGAGATTATGAGGTTATGTCACACGTATTCTTCCTAAATCTTCTCTATCTGCCTGCCCCTAATCTGATTTTGGTTTAAGTTGAGGCTGGTAGGCATAGCTGAGGGTGCAGATGTGAACCTGAGTGTAAGTGACCTCCTCTTACCCAACGGCTTTGATGGGTTGGCGTTTGGACTTGGGGGTCTGGGAGATCTTCTCCAACCTGAATGATTGTATGAAATTTTAACCTGCTCAGATTCTTCCATGTTTCTGTAGAGCATGAATGGAGATGTCATCCAAGAGAGTGCACTTAGGTATTAATTCACATTAGGAGCAGTATGTTATACCAAAATGTGGGCTAGTTCAACACCAGCCAAGACCCCAGTGGATGCACTGGATGTTGACTAGGAGTTGAAATAGCAATGCTCTCCAGATTTGGCTAGCTGCAATCATTATCATTCTCTGTCTTTATCAGAAAAGCATAGCAGAAATTAAAGCAAAATCTTGATTTAATGCTTGAATAGCTCATCTTACTGTTCAGCTCATCTGGACAACAGTAGAGGAATGAATACAAATGATTTCCAGCCAAGTAGAAATTCCATTAAAGCAGATTTGTTTGTTTGTCTGTTTTATTAAAAAAGAAAAACAACAAAAGAGTCTTAAATTTCTTTTCAAACACAGTAAACCATGGATTTTTCATTAAAGCACATTGGTTGCTTTGGTTTAGTCTGTCAGCAGCTACTCCTTGGTCTTGTAATACTCGTAGAATCTTCGCGTCGCGTTCTTGTTATCAAAACCCAGAAATCCTTTCAAGGAGACGACAAACGTTTTAGTATGAGGGTGTTTTATTTATGCAGTGGTCTTTAGAGGATGGCGTTGACATCGTTGGCTTCGGAAAATAAGTTAGAGTATTTTTTTTTGCAAGCAGCTTTCATAAAAAATATCTGAAAATCGTTCATTTTCTTCTTATAGTCATTTGTATAGGGAAGATGCAGAGGATGAGTGCCTTAATGGTGTCGACTGGCACAGTAGTTAATAGTGTTATCTTTAAATAGTTTTCTTTTTCTTTTTTTTCCTTTCCATTTTTCCTTTTTTTTTTCTTTTTTTTTTTTTTTCTTCTTTTTTTAAAGTACCTGTAGAAAATTATCACAGTAAGGCTACATATCCTGCAGACGAGTTCTGGAAGGTCTCTTACTCCAATTTCAGCTCTTGTAGTAGATGTCAGTCTGGCACATGTGATGGCTTGGGCTGTGTGTGGACAGAAAGAACGACAGCTGTGGTTCACATCAGTGCTATAGGTTTGGATCCAGGATTACTCAGGTAGGCAGGAGACACTGTATCCAACTCCATAAAGGCAGAGTAAAGAGTAGTGAGCTGGAGGTCGGGTAGGTTACTGTGTGGGGTTCCATGTGGGATGGCGGCTGTGTTGCTGTTCTCCATCTGGCAATGAGAAGGGAAACACTGGGAAGACGTTGGGGATGATGAAATGAGAACCAGGGGGTCCACAGCTAGGCTGTCATCCTTCAGCTCCTCCCAGAGGTTGCCTGGGACAAAACAGAAAGGATTGATTAACTTTCTTTACCTGTGCTTTTTGGAACACCCAAGAAATAGGTAATTACACAGCTACGTGTGCCGCATGTGTAAGTACTCTCAGTCACTTGTGATGGTTTAGTTGTTATTAGTGTGTTTCCATAAAAACATAAATCTTGGAGAAATTAGAATTAAGAGAATAACTTTGCTTGAAAATTTTAGCAAGATTCTGTTGCAAACGTATCATAGAATAGTAGAACTACAGGTTCATTAAGGGATGAAAAGACCACTAAGACCACAAGTCCAGCCATCAACCCATCCCCACCATGGCCACTAACTGTGCCCTCAGGAAGTGTAACTTCTTGTTGAAAGAAAACCCCGATTTTGAAAAGGAGAAATTGCCTCTAGTTTCTTGTAAGAGCCTGAAAGTGAATCTGCAGGTAATATTACTGCCCAACTGGGCTTCTTGTGTTTGTGTGACGTGGCTTATCTGATGGCATGCTGAATTACTGGATGTATGATTTCATGACAAAGAAAAATCAGAAATATGATTTGATGCCTCATCCCTGGAGGCGTTCAAGGCCAGGTTGGATGGAGCCCTGGGCAGCCTGAACTGATGCCTGGCTTAATTGTTGGCGACCCTGCCTGTGGCACAGGGGTTGGAACTAGATGAGCTTTGGGGTTTCTTCCAACCCAACCCGTTCTATGATGGTTTGGCTTTTTTTTTTCCCTAAAGTGCAACAGAAAGCTTCTCATCTTTCCATTAAATGCATCTCAGTGAAAGGGCTCGCTAAGGGACTGCAGCAGGGCTGTGTTTCTCATCTTCAACACTGAAGGTTTCTTCCTGAGGGACAGGTTAGTGGGCATGGTGGGGATGGGTTGGCCGTCGGTGATCTTTGAGCTCTTTTCCAATCGTAACAATCCTACGATTCTGTGGGTGGGGATGGGTTGATGGTTGGACTCATGATCTTGGAGCCCTTTTCCAACCTTAATACTTCTATGATTTAGCATGTTGGAGATGGGTTGATGGTTGGACTCATGATCTTAGAAGTCTTTCCCAACATTAATGACTGTATGATTCCTGGGGGCAGTGGCCAGAATGCTGTCACTGTGTCGGGCTGTGATGTACTACGCCCAAATCTACGCCATACAACCACCTGGGATCCCTACCTTGGAGATCAAAGTCGGTGAGGGATGGATTCAGAGCATCGATGTCGTTGCTGAGGTCCCCCTCCTGCAGCAGAGGGTCGGGCACCGTGCGGGCCGTGCAGTGCTCTGTCATCACCTTCAAGCCGCAGCTCGGGGGGGTCTGGGCCGGCAGTGGGGAGTCCTGGGTGATGCTGGGTTGACCCCGCAGTTCGTTTGGAGCCTCCCCAGAAGGAAACATTGTCTGATGGTCTGGTGTCTGAGGCATTAACGCGCTTGAGATTGGAGGGAAGCCCTGTGGGGCGGTGTAGCATGCGGTTTGCTGCCCTCCGAGCAAGTTTGGCAACGTGTTCTTGGCATGGAGAGCTCCTGATGATGTGTGGATGGGATGCAGAGGCTGCGGTACAGAGGAAAGCGAGGGCTCGCCCAAGGAGTGGGGTTGGACTGCCATCTGCCTGGAGAGGGACGCACCTGCAACGCCGTTAGGACTGCACGACATGATGGAAGATCGCAGCTTTTCACCTTTGTCGCCTATCAGCGTGTCAAGCTCTTCTACAAAACAAAGGAAAACGAAATCCATAAGGTATTTCCTGCAGAGCCTGCATCCTCATCGCTTGCAGCCGGGGAACAGGTGGGTGTGATGGCAAACAAAAGTGCTAACCTGTAGGATAATAACTCCAAAAGCCTGAAATGCTCTTCTAAATAATCAGTGCTGAATGTGAGTGAGGAACATTATATTGTCGTGTTTAAGGGCTGGGATTTATTGGATAATTTCAATTTTATTCCACAGGACTTAATTGAGTGTTGCTTTAACATCTCACCAAGCGTTACGATAGAACGCCTTTGTGCCTATTTAGAAGCAAAACCTGGTCTTTAATTCTGCTTTTTTGACTTTATATTAAGGAAAGCATCTTTAAATATTTCCTAAGTAGTGCATAAATGCTGTTGCTCGGCTTGGTGTGCATTGCAAAGCAAGTTATGGACTGCTGCTTGAGGACAACCACGCTCACTTATTACTGACCTGGCTTTGCCATACTCTTCCTCACAGCCACCGGATCTTTCCTCTTCCATTTCTGCAGCTCCTCCTGCATCTTGTCAATCTTGGCTGGGTTCAGAGCCCACAAACAGCCTTTCCGAGAAGAGTTGCCTGATTTGTTTTCAACTTTCTCAAAGCATTTGTTCAAGGACAAGTTGTGGCGCACGGAGTTCTTCCAGCCATCCGGGGCTGTCTGGAAACACAAAGCCAATCTAAGAATGGTTTTTCAAGGAAAAAAAAGCAATCAATTCTCTACGTTATGAAACTGGTTAAAAAAAAACCAAAACCGAAACAAAAGGAAAGTTATTCTTATGCCCAAGTGGACTAATTGTGTGCCTTACGACTGAAATATGGGTTTCTACACTTGATTGCTACACTTTTTTTTGCTTTACGCTTATTTTTAAGCCAGTGATGGAAGCTGGGGGGTTCTTTAAACCTCACAGTGCATTGAAGTGATTCTTCCATGTGTATTTTCTGGTTTCTGCTCAAGCAAAATTCCATCCTTACTCTGAGGACAGTTTTGCAAGAAGGAAAAAAGAAACTGCTTATCACACTGAGACGCTGCATATGAGCATGCTGGTTCATATCATAGGATTCCTATGGTGAATTCCTGATGGGTCACTTCCTTGTCTTCTACAGAAATTCCATACAGTCATAGAATTCTATGGGAATTCCATAGAATCATAGGATTCTGTAGATTCTATGAAATCTGACCTTTGGATTCTTCCATTGGAACATTAACTCCTTATCCCCCGAGGCAGACCTTCGCTACAAGCTGGACAAGACCACATTTTCCATTTCTGACAAATTCCCATAAATGTAATAAATTTAATACTTCCTTCTTCATTCAAAATATTGCTTGGTTGAAAGCTGAACACGTGTCATCTGCTACAACAGGAAGTGTTTGGCTTTCCCAACAGCACCGTTTCTACCCTTTTGTCCACCTGATGTCAGCATTTCACCGTTCTGTTGGCCAATCCCGTAGGTGAGTCAACCTGCAATTCTGCTATTAAAAAATCAGTATAAAAACCCAACCCAACCCCTTACAGCCCTTTCTGCTGTAGGGTAAGACTGAAGATGAGTGGGGATGCGTCGGCACAGCTGCCCATGGAGGTGTTCAGGAACCAAGGAGACGTGGCACCGAGGGCTGTGGGCACAGCGGGGTGGGTTGGGGTTGCACTTGAGGATCCGAGAGCTTTTTTTCCAACCCAAATGATTCGGTGGTTCTACCATGACCGTTTCTTGCCCCTTGCAGTTTGCATCCGAGCAGCTTTCTGCCAGCTCCAAAAGCAAATCCCACTTTCTCCAAGGGAAGGTGTGCAATTAGCTGCTGCCTGGGAGAGCGCTCACACTCCTGGCCGTGTGTGCGAGGCTGCACCAACCTCTGTCTGTATCTAGACGGGATAATTAGTGTTTCTGCTCGGCGCTGGGAGTGGCGTGTGTTTCTCAGAGGTTTTCAGATGTGTGGGGGTGTGAATGGTGAGATCGTTTTAGGAACGTAAAAGCAAAAAGTACACGGATTTATTCCGGGGAGTGCTGCCAAGGGTTGAACAGGTTCTTGCATTAAACTCGGGACTGCTGAGCAGTGAGAAATAGTTGTTTACCTAGCTGAGCCCTGAAGGAATGCTCCAGCACAGCGTTAGAAGTACTGCTCTGTCACCAGTTTTTATTTTCACATTTGATGCTCGGTTAATGAACTGAGCACTGCCTGCTGGAGCTGCCACTGTACAGTTGGAGTTGTTTTGCTGCCGTGATTTGGCCACCCTTGCTTCCAGAGCAGTGTGGAAGTTATGTGGAATTAGGTTCCGTTGGATCTTCCCAACCTCTTGGACCACTGGAAATAGCTCAATTAACGAGATGAAAGCTCAGCGTTCAACTCTCTAATTGCACTGAAGCAGAAAAAAGGATGATGAGCCAAAAAAGGTCGTTGTGCAGACCCATTGATCCCGACAGCCTCTTGAAGTTTAAAGAGTTCAGTGATCTTGCAAAACCCTTTCTCTTTAAATCTAGGTCTCAAGAGAAGGGAGAGGTACATCAAAGAGTAATTCACCTTCAGCTGTGTAGATTATTATTATTTTTTTTTTGGGACGTAGGAGTTGGATTGCTCTGTTTCAACTAGAAATGAGATTGTTGCATCATAGAAACTGAATTTGCTGTGGCAGCGAATACGAGTTAATTTGACTAGGCTTGTATCATCTCATGTCTCCCAGCAAGATTCTACACACACTTGTGCTCTCCTTCAGTTCTACTCTAATTGCTTCCCCTCCCCCTGGTGAATCCTGCTGTTTGCTGAGTTCTGTAGCACCAACACGAGGCTGTTTGCTGATTTCTATATTATTTTATCTTGTTGAAGTCTCTCCAAAATACGGTTTTTGTCATATATTGGTAATTCCATGGGCTGCCTTAAAGACCGGCCGGAGGTAGGGCTTAGTCCTTATAAGCACATTTGCTTATTCTGTTCTTAATTTAATGATGTTTGGGATGAAAATATTCAATTGTTTGACTGTATTTCTAAATAAAATGAAAAAAAAAAAAAAAGGCAGAAGAAAGTTGCAGAATTTGGACTGTTCCAGTGATAACACCAGCACCATTCTTTGCCTATATTGCACATGGAGGCTGTGACCTCATTCCCACTGACTTACAAATAATGGGAGAAAAAGCCACGAGGATCTGCAAGAAGCCCTCCCATGGAACAGATGGGTTCTGATGAGCGAGAAGAGCGAGGTTTGGATTAGGGCTAAAACAGTTATTTAAAGCTGTGCTGGAAGACAGAGGAGAAGCAACTTCAGTTTGGTCTGGTGAGCTGCTGTGGGCACCGCTATGCCTGTAAAACTGATTTTAGTAATCCCACTTCTCCACTTGAAACTCCTCCATGCTGTGTTCCTAGAAGATGGTAATGTGCTTTCCTACCCTCTGACTATTGGCATATTTAATTGATTTTTTTTTTAATTTTTATTGCTATTTATCCTCAGAACCACATGACATTGCTGTGTGATTGTATCAGGACATTTGAATCAGGATATCTGAATCGTCTTTCTGTAGCTGCATTAGATCTATTTGATTGCTGCATGCTTATTTGCAATAGGAAGCACAACAGCCTTGCATTGCTTTGGTTTTAGGTCTTGCTAACAGCTGTAGGCCACTTGCTCTGGACATTTAGCAAGACTTTTTGGGGCATCAGCAAGAACAAAGCCCTGTGTAGAGCAGCAGCCAGCAATTCAATTACAGCTCTCTTTAGATCTAACTGTAATCCCTCTGCTCTGGGGCTGCATGCTGACTAATCTCTTCCCACCTGCATCCCAAGTGCAAGAAGCCATTTGCTCCTACAGCACGGATTTAAATCTCAATAGCATCTGGTGCAAGCTGTGCATCCATGCCTTCACCATCATGACCGTGTAATTATGAGCTTAGTACCATTTATCACATCTTATACTTTTCCTTTTACAGGGCATGCCAGAGATGAAGTTGCCCAAGCTGACATCCCAGCTCCAGAACGGAGCAGCTGATGGAGCTGTGGGTGACCCTCCTCACTGCAGGGAGTGGGACCTGATGGCCTTTAAAGGTCAACCATTCCATGAAGATATCCCCATGCCTCTGCTTCCGTGATTTTGGAGGTACTGTAATGGCAAGGGAAGCCATAGGACCAGTTCTGCCTGTATCTGAGAGGAAGGGATGATGTTGTTTTTAGAAATATTTATCCCTTTTACGAGCTGTTAGTGAGGAGTGGCTGCTTGTCATCTATGCAAGCTCCAAGTTGGAGCTGTTCTTAATAAACTTTTGTGTTAAGTTGCACTACACACTGCACTGTGTGCATACATCCTGCCTAGGCACAGAACTCACCTTAAAGTAAGGAAAGTGCTCTGTCATGAAATTGTAAATCTCGCTGACTGGCAGACTGCCCGTCTTGCTGTTTTTGAGTGCCATGAAGATCAGGATGCTTTGGGGAGAGAAAGAAAACTGTTTTAGCTTGTCAGGAAATACAGTGTTTGTCTCAGAGCTTGTGATGACCGTGGCTTTCACTCCCATACAATGGATCAGGTTGGATATTGGGAACAATTCACTCTCCAGATGAGTGGTGATGCAGTGGAACGGCTGCCCAGGGAATGGTGGGCTCACTGTCCCTGGAGGTGTTCCAAAGCTGTGGGGATGTGGCACTGAGGGATGTGGTCAGTGGGTATGGAGGGGTGGGTTAGGGCTGGGCTTGGATCTGAGAGCTCCTTGCCAACCTGAATGGATCTATGGATAATGCTGACAGTTCCCACTCAGCCATAAGCAGTGCATCACTCTTAGATGTAATGGTCAAAGTCCATGCAGGATGTGAATGGCTCATGTCCAATACAAATTTCAAGTAAAATGTTGGAAAGTGGAGTCAAGACCTTGAGTCCTGGCTGTGTTTTTTAAGGTTGTGCTTCAGTGCTTACACTGATAAGGGCGCATGGAAAGTATCAAGCTGAGTGGCAGAAGGTATAACTAAAAATTGCCTGACCTGCTTTACTCGAGTGATGGCTGGGGGCTAATCCTATGTGATAAGCAGCATATCTGATGTTTTTTCTGGACGTTTCCTCACCCTTAATGGGGAATTAAATAGCACCAATACAGGTCCTGCAAAGACACCTAATTGTGATTAGTCTTAGGCTGATTTGCAGCACCCAAGACTTTGCATTAGGAAAAGGCCTGGCTTTTCTTCTTTACATCATCTCATTTCCCTTTGCTTTGGCCCCAAAGTCTGGAGCGTGCTGTGATTCATACAAGCAGGACAGAGCACACTGGGAACAGGATAGGGAAGCACCTTGTTGCAAATTAAGCCAAAAATATGCTGTGGGTAAACAGTGCAGCATCAGGAGTTGAAAAAAATGCTTTCTCACCTGTAGGAGTAGATGGGCTTGGGAAATAGAGGCTGCTGGGATTCTTGAGTGCTTTGAGGAGCAATCCTTTGGTAGGGGTAGTGCGAAGAGGTGATGTAGGTCACCGGGTAGCTGCCTCCTGATGGGTACTGGGGAGACAACAAAGATGTCACATGGCTTGGCAACGAGTTCTCAGAATGCTTCTTTCTTTATAGAAATACTAAGCTTTAATTCTGAGGACATTGTCCTCTACCTATGTTTAATAGCTCTTATGCAAGGGCAGAACTGAAGTCTGTCCAGCATGGTATTGAAAAGCACTGGTGCTGCTAAGAAGGAGGAGAAGCTGGAGAGGAATGGGCTGGGATGTTGGCTGCTACCAGTTTTGTTGCAGTGAGTTCCATGCTAAAGAACTGTTTATTATTGCCCATTATTCTACTGAGTACTTGTGGAAAACGGGTCGTTGTACCCTATCTATCATCTCCAGATCATGCACAGTCATATAAAGAGTTTACTCCTCTGGCCATCCCTTTAATGGCATCTCTTCAAGAGATCTCCAGGCATGTACAAATCTCAATGCCCCCAGCGATGGATGGCCCATCACGAAGTCACCCTGATAGAAATACACCAGTGCAAAAAAGCAGGCAGCTCAAAGGAAATGCAGCATGTGCCTTGCCTTGATTGCAGCATGGTTTCTGCCAGTGCTCTCCATTTCCTATCGCAGCGGTTGGTCACGTATTGTTCTGTTCTGAATTGCAGTTCCAACCTGCTGGCAAGCAGCTTTCAAGAACAAAGAAGCGCTGCCCCACGGAGCTGAGATACCATCAGTTGGCTCCTGGTGTGGCGAAGGCTCCCGCTCAACTCGCAGTCTGTAAGAGAGGAATTTCTGCCTCTTACAGCTGAATCTTTCCAGATGCCAAGGGTAGGGCATGGCCAAAATTAGGAATCGTGTCACAGGCTATTAAAAATCTGCTTGCGTGCCTTTGCTGGTGCTCAAGGGTTGCTGAGCCATGTTCTGGTGCGGTGCTGCTCACCTCTACAAGCCCTGTGTCATGAGTTTTTATGGTTCCTCTGAAGACTCATATATAGATTTTTCAGAGTCATCAAGAAAATTTTCCTGGTAATTAATTTATACATCTTAGTTTCTTCCTGCCATTGGTTTCAGTGCCTCTTTGAAAGGGTTCTAAGAAGGAACTGGCTGGGATGTTGCTACCAAAAGCAAGAACTGGGTGTTTTCACGATGATTTCTGTTTTATTGGTCTCATTACTCCTTTTTGAGGGAGCAAGGAGGGGAATGGTCTGGTACGACTGGCTGGAGCTGGTTCTGCTGGATGAAAGCTGTCCGTGTTTTATGGTGGGTGGGTTGGTGGCTCCAGCAGTGTCTGCCACTTCTTTCAGGTCCATAAGAAGTAATTTTCCAGCTGAGTCACCATTTGTGCTGTGTCCAGCAAAGGGGAAGGTGAGGCCACTTTATCGTTTGGACTGAGTTAATGAAGGAGTTGATCTCTCTCATCCCTTAATGAAAAGAGAAGTGTAGTTGCTCCAGGCTAGGGGGCTGTTCTGAGTTTAACTCCATAGTGATTTAAGCTGTCCGTTCCATTCACATTTGAGAGGTAAAACATTAATACGTGCAAAAGGTGTTGTTCCATTTCTTCTGTCTTGTGTCTCTGCTCATCTCCTGGCATCTGACACTGGCACATGGACAGCATCTCAGCCTGTCATGACTTTGCCTGCTGATTCCCCTCACTTTCCTTTCATTAGTAGAATCCGTTGCCATGCTTTCATAACATCAAGTAGCACAAACTCTGACCAAAGCCTGCTGCTGGAGGAGAGCTGTCACTGTGCCAACCTGCAGGTGGATGGGAGACTTTCTCCTCCTGCGATGCTTGTTGTGTCTTGCCTAGCAGTTCCCAGAAGACAGCTGTAAGGTTATGGGGTTTTTGAATGTGCTTAATGCAGATGGGTGGTAACATCACTGGTATCAAAACAGCAGTGAAGAGGGAAGCGTGCTCACTTCATTGATATGTTTTATATATATGTATATAGCCTTAAAATTGTGCATTGTCATGCATCAGCATTGCAGTCGGTTATGCTTCAGCTGAATACTCTTTCACTGGGGATGATACAAGAGCCAAAAGATTGCAGAGGAGATGGATGAGCCACCAAACTCAGGGAGCATCGTCTTGCTGTTGTTTACTTTAAAAGGAGGCATTTTCATCTATTTTTTGGGGGGGTTGGGGAAGGGAGGGAGTTGTTCCTGTGACTGCTTTATGGCTATAGCACAAGAAACAGAGCATTTTTGGTTCAACATACGATACTGACCTGATGGAAGGGATGTGAGGAGCAGTACATCTGCTGCACTTGGGGCTGATAGCAGTACAACCCAGGCTGCCCTTCCAGTGGGGATGTCCTAAGCTTGAGATCTGAATCCTGCTAGAAGATATTTAAGGAAAGCATTGTTAGAGAGAACACCTCAGTTTAATGCCATCAGCTGCTGTCCTGACTTGTCTTTCATTGTACCTTACTACCTTCTTCTGGTCATCTCAATGCCACATCCAGTATTAACAAATGTTTGTGCTATTTTGGTGACCGTAAGATGATGTTTTGGTCCAGAAATATCAACTTGCCAGCAGCCTGTAAGCTGTGTAGGAGCTTAGAAGTTGCTCTTTAATGGAACCAGTGGAGGCATGAATGAGCAGTTGGTCTGAGCAGTCAGAGGCACTTATAGTAGAGCACATGCAGTGCTAATTTTACATTCTTTGCAGCTTTGAATTTGGGAAGAAAATGGGATTTTTCTCATTAACTGTGTACAGCTTTTGCATTAACCTCAAATCAGATGAGGTTATATTATTATATCCAGGAAACAGGAGGTTCATATCAACTTCATCCTTAGTGTGAGTAGCTGGAAACGTCCCCCATCCCTTGCTAAATCATCTTAGTTCATTTAGAGATTATTTTTGTTTCTTTTTTGCCCCCTTTTATTTCAGTAACCCTGCAATTCTTTGTCTCAAAACCAGTCCAGAGCCAGTGATCAGGGCCCTCTCCTGGCAGGTTTGCTCACTGGTTGTCTGCACGAGATGATGAAGGTAGGGTTTGCAATTTGGATCACAGCAGAGGTGCCTTGTAGGGATACCACCATGTGGTGAGTGACTCCTCATACCTTCACACAGTACATACCATAAACAGACTTTGTACTTAGTTTTAAGTGAGTAGAACTGATATCTAAGAGCTTCTCTTGCTGCCAAGAAAAATGCAGGTCAGCAAAGGCACTGTGTAAAGAAATCAGTGTCTGTTCTCAGATGCACACATCCTCAACAAATCACAGGTTGGAAAAGAGCTCTAAGGTCATCCAGTCCAACCATCCACACAGCACCAATGTTGCCTGCTGGCCACGACCCTTAGTGCCACATCTCCATGGTTCTGAACACCTCCAGGGATGGGGACCTGGGGACCCCACCACCTCCCTGGGCAGCTGTGCCACACTTGAAGAAACACCATAACATTCTGTCCCTTGAGGATGCTGATTGATGACAGTGATATCAAACCTGCTGTTTGAATTTTTAAGGCTCTTGTCTACTGGAAAATCCTTTGCCCATATCCACCTTTCAGGTAATTGTTTTTCAGAAGGAAAAGGATTAAGACAGAGAACTCTGACAAATAAATACAGATGTAGGCTAGAGCCCACGACAGACAACTTCATAAGAGATTAAAATCTATGTAGTAGCATTGAGATAAAATAATTCCAAACGCATCCTTATTTTCCCAATTAAAAACAGAAGAAAAAAATAATAGAAAATATACTGACCATGACTTGTGAATTGTGATCTTGACCTGTGGTGCTGTACTGGAGGCTGTTACACCACGGCTGCTCGGAGGAGATGTTTGGAAGGTGTGTTGGAAATGACTCTGACTCATCAGGGCCCGTAGATCCTGGGAGACCCTCAAAACCCTCAATACTTCTGGTGCTTTTGAAAGATGGACCTTCAGGTGGAAGGGCTTGCTGTGCTTCCTGGAAGACGTCCTCACTGATCTGCCTCTTGTAGGGGTGAAAGGGGTTCCTGCTGCTCTTGAGGAACCTGTCGTAGTTTCCTACAGTGTTTTCCTCATAACTGTACCGCCGGAATTTTTCTGTGCTGAAGGAGACCTGAAATTTGTTCTTGCTGCAGTGAATCCCTTGGCTGGGGGGAAATCTCCCAAGGAGCTGATCCTGGGCTGGAGATGCAGGGCTGGGGCTGTGGGAGGACTCGGAGCTCTTCCTTTCTGTCCTGCTGTCTGATTCGTACGCTTGGCAGCTGTAACTGGGATTATCCTGCAACGAATCGTTGGCATTTGTTTAGGGTTAGGTGGAACAAATATTTTTCCAGTACGTAGAAAATGTGCATTATTGACGATAATTAGAAAATTACTAATCCTGCCACCTCCGCACAGATAAACTTGGAAGGGTTTTTCTCATTACCTGGTGTCCGAACCTGTTTAAAGGTAAGTTGATAGAATAATTAAGAAGGCTGAAACAATCCTAATCTGTCAACTATCTGTGGAAAACAGGATGTCACAGGCAACTTTTGCCTTGCTGATCTGTCTGTTGTTCCAGAGAGAAGATGATGTGTGATCAAATGATGAAAGATTAAACGACAGGAATATGGTAAGTGCAAATCCTGTCATACACAAGTTTAATCAAATGGGCTTGAGCTCGTTCTTTGTGTTACACGTTGCTAGATATGTTAGCAGTTACATCACTTCCTCTCATTAGTGTAACCACACTCATTCCATGAGCCATGGAGGGTCTGGGCAGGCAGCTTCACCTCCTTCCTGTCTCATCTCCTCCCTTCCCTTTTGTTAGCAAAATGGAATTAACAACTACTCAAGAACTCTTTAATCTACAGGGGAAAGGCTTAACAAGAACTGGTGTCTGGGTCCTGGAGCTGAACACATACAGCTTAGAAATTATGCATATTTTCCCTGACATTAATGGTGAGTAACATCTTGGATGCTTTTTGGGAAGGCACAGCTGAAGTCAAGAGCAGGTTATTATGTTCAGTGAAGGGAAAACAATCACAGAATCTCAGAATCATTCAGGTTGGAACATTCACACTGGAACAGGCTGCCCAAGGAGGCTGTGGATGCCCCATCCCTGGAGGCATTGAAGGCCAGGCTGGATGTGGCTCTGGGCAGCCTGGTCTGCTGGTTGCCGACCCTGCACATAGCAGGGGGTTTGGAACCAGATGATCATCGTGGTTCTTTTCAACCCAGGCCAGTCTATGACTCTATGACTGGAAAAGACCTCCAGGATCCTCATGTCCAAACCCAACCCACCCCACTGACCACGTCCCTCAGAAGTTTTTCCTAATATCCAACCTGAACCTTCCCTGGCACAACTTGAGGCCATCTCCTCTTGTCCAATTGCTGTTGTCTGGGAGAAGGGGACATAATGTACAGTGATATACAAAAAGTAAGGTCAGATTATCAATCAGTCCCTTTTCCCCTCTTCCCTCTGTAAATTCTAGTTGTTCTTACAGGAGAACACGAAAAGGAAAACATGGAAGAACCAGTGTTCAAGAAATCTGCAGAGTGGAACATGGTAAAGCTTTTTCATTCCTATCCATGTGGGTTTGTGGGTCTGTCTGAGCTCGTACCTCTGGGGGAGGAGAGCAGCAGTGATCCATAGCACTCACCGTTTGCTGAATTGGGGATACTGAATCCCCCGGTGTCTTCATGAGGTCCTCTTGTTGGTCCCTTTCCAAAGTGTCCGAAGAAGAAAATTTAATATTAGATTGATCCTGAAGTAGTGAAACCATTACCAAATCCACTTCCGATGGAAATTCTGTTGTAACGAAGGAAAATGGCAATCAGTACTTTCTAAAACTGAAAAGTGGAAAAGAAACCATCCTGTTACAGTGTTGGGCATTCTGCTGGGCAATGACCTATTCCAAGAGTAGAGGTATCCCTAATCTGAGTTCTTCCTTTAGCTGTCAGAGGAATGTTATCTAGGCATAATTGCAATGAAGTGTGATCAGTATTATGCAGTTTTACCACTATTCTTAATAGAAATAATCCCTTTTTTTTTTGCCTTTTTAATAAAAATGCAGTACTGTGGATTTGAGAAAACTTAGCAATATTGCTTTACTGAGAATTATTAACTGTCATTGCTTTTAGTGGGACTACATACAACAAAGGAGTTTGTTCCTATCATTACTTAAGACTGGTGAGTGCCATCAGCTCATGGTTTTGCTTTTTTCTGGTATCAGTGCCTTATGTTCTGCACAGTTTAAATCTCAAGTGTTTAAATGAGCTCCCAAACTTTGATCTTCAGATATTTCAGACACATCTGATGATATTTGTCAGAGTAAGATGAATGGATTTGATCTTCCAGAAGCTTGTTTGCCATTGGTTTTTCTGTAGTCCTTTTTCACTGTAAATTTACAGTAAGACTGCAATGGCACAACTCAGATTTCAGGGGTATAAATCAGGGGAGAAAGGCACTCGAGGGGTTAATTCACAAAGTCTTTGCCACGTGTTTAAATGGCTGTTAGGTAAATAACTGAAGGGGTTATCGGGCTTGGCTAACAAAGATATATCACTGAAAAATGTGGAAAATCTGTTTTGCTTTTACAGTTCAAAGAGAAATCTCTATTTATGATGAGTTAGACTGCACTGCCCAAGGGGATAAAGTACAATGGGGCTTGGAAATCGCATATAAGACCTTGAGTGTACAGGAAAGAGATGATGTGAGCTGAAGTTCACTGTGTTTTGGGCACAGGCCCCATTCCCAGTAGCTGAGCTGGAGGTTGATGAGGAGATATACATAAAACTCCTCTTGAAAGGAGCAGGTGGGAAAACTGACAACTTGGAAATATGTGCACATGTATATTTGTAATTGTTCCAGGCTGTCTGTCCTCTTAATGCAGTTTTCCCACTGATCTCCAGGTTATATAAAGCTGTATCTGACCTCTCCTTTATACTGCAATTTTTCAACCCCACTGCCTAATTTGTGGTCTTAAGCATTAGAATTTCATTAAGAGCTTTTGTGCAGTTACAAGTCCTGCCTAATGGCTTTTCCACTGCAAGAGACGTTGGACAAATGCTCACAGATCAAGAAAAGGGAAGAGCTTCCTTGCAAGAAATCAGAGAAAGTAACAGAATAAGAAAGTCAAAAAGCTTTGATTGCGGAGAATAATAATGGTTTTCTCTTCCCATTAGTTTTGCCACCAGAACCAGAGCAAAAGCACTGGCTAAAGGGTGAACTGGGCACGTCAGAAATAGAGTATGTCATGGCTATTTGGAGAGATAATACAACGTGGACCAGGAAAGCCAAATTATTATTGTCCCCCCCCTCCAAGTGTTTTGCCAGGCTCTGTTTATTAATTTTATTTTATCATCTCATGGAGGCTGATAGGAAAGGAGGAGTCTTATGGCCTTTTAATGCTGTAATAAATCTCTCTGCGTAGTGAAGGTGTTATTAGATGGGAAGTAGCCTTGTCCTGATGCAAGGTCAAGCTGATAACCTGCACTTAGTGATGATCTGCATTGCTACTGCGGGGTTTGAAAAGAGATTCCAGACCACATGCTGACTTTCTTCTATAAGGGAGAAGAACTTGTGGTCATTGGAGGCTGTCAATAGCGGGGGTTGCAATAAATCATTTGCAATAAAGTCATGCAACTGTTAGTGGGAGAGAGAACCTGAGGAAACCGTGGGTTGCCAAGATGTGGGACTCGTGAAAGAAAACAATGATGCTTTGATTTGGAAAAAGGAAAGTGACTGTCCCAGATGTAGCTGGAACCATTTCTCCCAGCCCATGTCATTTCACTGCTGTAAATGTTGCGTGACAGTTCTGGCTCCTGTTAGAGGATAACTATCTTCAAAAGGAAAAAAAAGAAAGAAATTAGTGAGAAACTGTAACCTCAGCTGAGCGTGCGGACAAGCGAGGGAGCAGCTGACCTATTAGCTCTGCATGACTGGAGCCCCGTGGCACCCATCCATCGCTCAAACAATCCCTTTTTGTGCATTTCTGGACATCAGAAGGCATTTTGCCGACGATGCATTTCCCCAGAGCTCAGCACCGGGCTGTGTAACTCATCAGAGCTGCTCCGAAGCTGTACCTTACTGTAAATGCCCCCTCCATCCCTTGGGGCTGAGATCAGTTTTCATGAGAGGAAGGTGAGCTTTGGATGTTCCCCAATTTGTAATTCATCCTGCATGCATGCCTGAGGCAGCTCTCTGCTCCGCGCCTGACTCGGGTTGTGTGATCTCCTCTCCTCTGCCCCCTCCCCACAGCACTAAATCATCTCTTTCCTCTCCAAGTCACACCGTTGGGTTCCAACTCAAGAATGAACAAACTACCTGGGGTTTCTTTTTTCTTCTGCATTCTGCTTTTAAGTTTTGTAGATAAAAATCTGCACCCAACAGTATCACGTTCCCAATGATGTCCCGCTGTTGTAGAAGCGACCAAAACCTTTTGAGCAAAACTTGCCATATGTACGGGGATCTTTCTGTGGGAAATCTTGGGTGAAAAAGGCACTATGGATGAGAATCAGAGTTTTTATGGCTTACAACGAACACAAGACCTTCTTTCTGAGCTTATACCCAACAGACTCGCACCAAATGTTGTTCTGGATCCTGGCTGCGGATAGCTGTGTATTGTCACTAAGCCTTGCTCTGCTTTTAGAAAACATTTTCAGGAGCAGAATTTCAACCTACACACCGTGGTACTGCATGTGGTTGTGCCATGTTGGTTTCTTACTGTTTTCTTTCTTCTATTTCTGGTACACGTTGTTCCTTGATGATAGGAACTACACCAGTTAACCTAATGAAAAAAGACATTACTCTCCCTACCAGCTTTGCAACTCTGGTATTTCCTAAACCCTATCCTTTGCATACTCCATCCTATTTTCTGGATGAATGATTGTGCTGTTTCCTGAATGAGCAGTATGAAATTTCATTGCCTTATATAAGACATCTAAGCATGAAGTCAGACTTGATTCCAAGAGTTAAAGTTGTTAATATGATACAGAAACTGTGATTCTTTCATGAATAACCAACTTGGTTGGCAGGTAAAACTAGCACATGAGATAACGGCAAAGCGTGTTTGTGGGCTGATCACAGCGAGTAAGTAACTGAATTCAGAGCAAATGGGTCTGCAGTGGATCTGAGGAGTGGCACAGATACAAGAAGACCATCTTTTTTCCCCTTCGGTGTCCCTTTCTCCTGTCATTTTGTAGCTTGTCTTCTCCTAAGTATTTATACTTTCTCTTTCCCCTCCCTGCAATATCTGTGTCACGTTGCTTTCTTTCATTTCCTTCATTTAATCAATATCAGTAAAATGCCCCATCCCTGGAGGTGCCTAAGGCCATCCTGGGTTGGGGCCCTGGGAGCCTGAGTTGGTGGGGGAGCAATGGGGTTGGAACTGGGTGATCTTCAAGGTCCCTTCCGACCCAAACCATTCTATGATACTCCAGATATTTTCCAGTGGATCCTTTCCCCTTCTACTATGACAAGTCTACTTTCTGGTTTCCAAGTGGTCCAAGGGCAATTCACAATATTTTCTATTAAGAAGTGCTTTTTTTTTTTTTTCCCTACAGTTCACCGCCATATTTTAATCAAAATGCAAGCTGCTGATTTCAGAGACGAACGCTGAGAGATGATGTTGGATGAAGCTTCAAAACATGTGAGTACCGCTGAGCTGCACAACAGGGAACGTGGGTCAGGAATTGTTGGGAGCCTCATAGACAGCATGCAACGTGTGGTAGCCCTGTTGTGCTCTGCTTCTTGTGTGCCGGTGAGGTGAACCCCATTAGTATAAGATGCTCTCCTGATGTACTTATTGATAGCTTTCGAGCTGTACGCGTGTGTTGTACCCTATTCACCCCATTTGGAAGCACGACGTAGGGGAAAATAGGGGACACATGGCACGGCTCCTCCAGTAGCCCCATCATTTACGTTACGTTCCTTTTCTCTCTCGGTGAGTCACGCTCATCTCCCTGTGACTTGGGAGTTCATCCTGGGATCTCATGCCATCTTTCTGCCTTTATGAGAAGGTGTGTGTGATGATCCACCCTAATGGTTTCTGTTGCTGGCTGTGGCAGCATGTTTTACGATGGGTGTGGTGCATTCCCATTCTCTCTGTTGTGCATGTACAGCATTCACCTTGCCGCCCCACCCGTGGCCACTCCCACCCTCCCACTGGGAATCGCCCACAGTAAGCTCTGTAATTACATTTATTTGATCTGAGGAATGGATTTGGGAATCTTATTTGCACAGTCGTAAGCTGAGGATGTTAAGGCTGACCCCCTCCCCCCCCCCCCCCCAATAAAAAAAACAACCTCCGAAATAAACCAACCCCCATAAAGAGAAAACAACCCAAAAACTTTGATTCACCGAGCAGTGATGTGTTAGGAAGAGAAACACCAGAGGCATGTAACCAAGCTGCTCCATTGGAGTGCTTCCAGAGTTTTTTTCCTTTGGAAATGTCTGATTCTACTTGTACACGAGGAGGAATTTCACCTGCTACCACCTGCTCTGAGTTCTTTGTGTTACTTTCTGCTGGTTCCACGTTGAATAGAACTCAACTGGTTGCAAGCTATGCTTTGTACCTGTTTTACATCTCTGCTATGGATTCAAGCATTTACTTTCTGGAGAAACCTCTGGAAAGGGAAGAAAAGAAACAGCCCAAGACTCAATCTCCTGCTTTGTCTTGTTAAGATCAAAGGTAACAACAGGCAACTAATTCAGCCAGCTCGCAGCACAGCTGATTGGGAGTGATGTATTCTGCTGACAACCCATGCCTAGGCATGAATGGAA